AGGACCTGAGTTCAAGCCCTGGGGCCCACATAATAACAGCTGACAGGTGAGTCCTTAGGATTCATTGCTAGCCAGCCTAGCCTACTAGTGAGTTCTGGCCTTTGATGAGATCCTGTAAAGAAGGAAATAGACAACAGCCCCTGAGGTGGTATTCTAGCCTACATGCACATGCACAAAATGCGTAGTTTTTTAAACTTAAAAGATGGTGGTTGGTAAACTGCACTGGCTAGTTAAAATCATGGACTCTTACAATGCTGACACTAAACTCTGTTTTTTTGAGACAGGGTTTCTTTGTATAGTTTTGTAGACCAGACTTGGCCTTGAACTCACAGGCATCTGCCTGCCTCTGCCTCTGCCTCCCGAGTGCTGGAATTAAAAGCTTGTGTCACCACCACCTGGCTGACACTAGAGTCTTAAAGATTTGCTAATGTTCAGTAAGCATTCTGAGATGAGGCAGAATCTGTGCAAGCTTATATAGCTGTTCATCAAACTAATTTCATTATTTTACTTGATGGTGGCTGTTTTGCCTTGAGATAGGGCCTCAGTATGTAGTCCTGGCAAACCTGTTATTTGCCATGCAAACTAAGGTGGCTTTGAATGAGTAGAGATTTGCCCGCCTCTGCCTCCTGAGTGCTAGGATTAAAGGCATGTGCCACCATGCCAAAATTGATGGTAGGTTGAAGGGGAATTTGATGCCTCTTCTAATGCCTGCTTTTTGCTGCTTCTCTGAGGAGTCCTGCAGCTGCCCCTCTGCCCAGCGTCATTTCCCTGACTGTCTGTGACAGAGAGGCTCTGACCTGGGGGTGTTAGGTATGACAGTAGTGATGGCAACAAGGTTGAGAGCCCCTCAGGATCCTTTCTGTTTCTACCCATTCCCTGTCTCAGGGAACACTGCCTAGTGTTCTGGGTCAGGCTTGTCTTAAATGTGGTTGGTTATGTTTCTGGAGAAATGAGGCTTGACTTGTGCTGGCCCCTTGGTTAGCTTCTCAACAGTGGGATGGGTAAAACTTGTACTTAATGGTTCTATTGAAGATATATTCACAGCAGGATCATAGGCCTGACTCAACCCAGGAAATTCAGCTTGTAGGTAGCTTCTTAAGAGGCCCCGTGGCTGTGAGGTGCTGGGGATCTATGTAACTCCTAACAACAGGTACAGACATTTCATAGAGTTAGACACATAGACAGGGTAGCAGCACTGTGTGCACTGATGAGCCACAAGACCAGTAATTGTCTGGCTGTTGTGTAGTTCCTACCCCCTGCACACTTTCCCTTTCTCCAGAAAGCTTCTTGCCTTGCCTTGGGTGGCTGGGCACAGGTAAGAACTCAAGCCTTGTCCTGTGTTGAACTTGATGATACTGAAATCCTGCCTGTGGGTCTCTGTGGTCTGACCTTTCTCCATAGGGTGTCCTATCAAAAGTCCTGTCCTCTGGGGAGTACAGAGACATCCCTTTGCAAGTGGCTAAGGGTGCCTGGTTCGGCACCCACTTGATAGAAAATGCATCAGATGCTAATGCTGTATGAAGAGTCCATAGTTGGTCAGTTGTGCAAATAGCTTTCGAGAAACTGCTTAACTAGTAAAGACATGGTTAGTATTACACCTGTAAAACCTTAAATTGCAAGTGGATGAATTTAAATCTACTCCCAAGGGCAATTAACTACTCAGAGGAAGATGCTGCATGACCCTGGAAACCTGGTCCTAAGGTGCTCGCCCTCCGCAGCTTCATGGCCCTGAAGTAGCCCAGGACATGACAGTACGTCAGCAGGTTCTGTGCATGTGGGGACTAAAGGGTCTCATTGTTCCATTTCTCATTTTCATTTTGTTTTTTGAGATGGGTCTTACTCTACATGTACCTGACTTAGAACTCACTGTGTAGCCCAGACTGCCTTAGGATTTATGGCAATTCTTCTGCCTCAGCCTTCTAAGTGCTAGGATAACAAGCATAGTCCACCATGCCTAGCTTGTAGCTAAGATTTTATTTCTTTATGGATGTGGATACCTGGAAAGACCAGGAAAGGGCATCAGACCAGGTGGTAGTAGCACATACCTTTAATCCCAGCACTTGGAACAGGCAGGTCTCAATGAGTTTGTGGCCAGCCTGATCTACAGAGTGAGTCCCAGGACAGCCAAGGCTTATCAGAGAAACCCTGTCTTGGGGGGGGAAGGGGTGGGGTGGGGGAGGTGGCATCAGATCCTTGAAGCTGGTGATAAAGGATGTTGTAAACAGATGTGGTTGCTAGGAACTGAACTTCTGGAAGGGTAGGAAGCACTTTTAACTGCTAAGCCATCTCCCTAGCCTTAGGCTTCCCTCAGACTTGTGTAGCTCAAGTTGACCTGATCTTCCTCCCTTTACCTCCTAAATGCTAGGATTACAGGTGCCCACCAGGGATCAGATCCAATGTTCCTGTTCTCCTGTATCCATCCTATCATATCATTAAGAAATTCTATGCTGTACAAGGAGAACAGCTTGAATTGTCTGATGGTAAATCTAGAAGTTTTTAAGTAACTGAATTGTACCTCTGTTGTGAGACAACATCCCAGGGCCTGTGCCCTCAGTGTGAACCCTTTTGAGCCCTGTTCCCCTCCTTTATTCTCTCAGGGAGGCTCCTCAGAAAGCCAAAGGACAGATAGGAGTGGCTCTTCATTCAAGAGGAAGGCAGCAGTTTGTTACTGTTGGTCATTAAGAGTAGATTAAATCCATCCACACTTAGCCATACCACAGCCCCCAGCGTTCAGGAGTCTCACTCCGGGACCTGGCTAGTTAGAACCAGAGGGTATAATCAACTTGACATTTGTACCTCTGACTCCTCGGAAGCTTTGCTGGGCAGCCCAGGGCTTAGCCAAACCAACATCAGCCCAAGCCTTAAAAGCTTGGGACTCTTGAAGTTTTCTACCTAATTGCCTGTTCAATGATGTTGTCAAATCAAAACAGCAACAAGGATAGGGGATCCTGGGAAAGTTGGCCCTATATACTATGACCACCCACATATCCTAGCCTGGCTTCTGAGCTAGTTTTTAGCTGGTTGTTGGGGCAGGTTTGTTAAATTTACTGGGTGGTGGTGGTGCACACCTTTAATCCCAGCATTCAGGAGGCAGAGGCAGGCAGATTTCTGAGTTTTAAGACCAGCCTGGTATACAGAGCAAGTTCCAGTACAGCCAGTGATACAGAGAAACCCTGTCTCAAATCTCCACCCCCACACCCCCAAACTGTGAAGTCCAGGTGGGCTGCTGTCATGTTTATGTTCTCCAGCCTTCATTAAATAGCTCTTCACTGAATGTGGTCACTTAAAAGCAGTCTCTGTCCAGGCAAGAGGTGCATGTATGTGGTGGAGACAATAACAAGGCCTTCTTCCCAGGCAGAGCCATCCTGAGTGACCACAGTTCCTGGAGCACCTTTGGGCCTGACTCAGGTCCTGATTGGATTCTTTCCCAGCAGTACCAGCCACTGGCTCTGGTCTTAAACTCTTTCCCCCAGGGCTTTGAAGGACTCTATAAGCCTTGACGCAGTTCTTCTTGTAGGCAGCAGAGAAATGGGAATTGTTCCATGCTTCAGGGCCTTGCCCCAGGAGCTGGTTGTGGGAACCGAACTGCCCAGCAGCTCCTGGTAAGATGTCTTCAAGATAACTGTTTAGATTGGTTGCTTAAAGCTTCCTTTAGAGGCTGGAGAGATGGCTCAGAGCACTGTTCTAGAGGTTCTGAATTCAATTCCCAGCAACCACATGGTGGCTCACAGCCATCTGGAATAGATCCAGTGCCCCCTTCTGGTGTGCATGCATACATGCCAGCAGAAGACTGTATACATGATAAATCTTAAAAAAAAAAAAAAAAAAAAAGCCAAGCAGTGGTGGCACTCACCTGTAATCCCAGCACTCAGGAGGCAAAGCAGGCAGATCTCGGTTCGAGGCCAGCCTGGTCTATGGGGAAAGAGCTCCAGGACAGTCTCCAAAGGGACAGAGAAACCCTGTCTCGAAAAACCAAACAGAACAAAAGCTTCTTTTACTGTAGAGAACGTAGGAGGTATTTTTAAAGCACCATGAACTTAAATAAACTGACATGTTGGTAAGGTGACTCAGTGGGTAAGGGTGCCTAGTAACCTGAGGTCAGGCCCCAGGCTCCACATGACAGGAGAGAGCTGACTCTGGACAGCCTTTCTGTTTCCCGAATACAGATGCTTGTCACTATGGGTGCTCCAGGAACTGTCTGAGGCTTTTACCAGGGCTGATGGGCCTGAGCATGGAGGTAGCATCTGGGTCTTCATTTGGGGCTCATCAGGCAGTCTCCATGCTTTGAGTTGAATCTGAGCTTGTCACTTCTGGACCATCAGTGGGGTGTTCCCAGTCCTTTCTATTGCTGAGGTTTGAGAAATTTGGTAGAATCTGGGTGTGGTGGCACATGCCTTTAATCCCAGCACTCAGGAGGCAGAAAGTGGTGGACCTCTGATCTGAGGCCAGCCTGGCCTACAGAGCAAGTGCCAGGGCTACACAGAAAAACCCTGTCTCTGTGGTGAAAAATATAGTGGGTTTTTCCAGATTGTCTTCCTGCTGTAGCTTAGCTGGATTGGCAGTGTTGTCTTTGCGATAGGACTCCAGTTTGATAGAGACTAATGCTTTTCCCTGTGCTTTGATGAGGCAGGAAAACAAGAGGGGGCCATACCTTAGCTAGTGCTGAAAGCACAGAGCAGAGCTGTGGTCACTGTGACAGAGGGAAAGGCCACTGTCCTAACATGAGGCAGCCTCTGCTATCTGTCCAGTCAGAATGGCCAAGGCTATCTGGAGCCAGTGGTGTGTTGGGTATCATAGAAACCATGACACACACCCCCCCCCCAGAAAACAGTAACTTCCAAATTTGGGAAAGTGGTGGCCAGGCCTATGACAGAGCTGTGATGATTGTTGACAAGGGTCAACCTGGAACCCTGACAGGCAGGGGGGCCATTTATTCACAGGCTGGTCTAGGTTAGTGAACAATCGTTTATCCAAAGTTCCTCCTTGACTCTGATGATCAGCTATACGCAGAATGGAATTTTACATATGTTGGACAGAAATAAAAGAATCAAGCCCCGGCCAGAAAGGTTCCAGAACTGCAAGGACCTGTTTGACCTGATCCTCACTTGTGAAGAAAGAGTCTATGACCAGGTTGTAGAAGGTGAGTGCACAGTCTGGTCTGCCTTTCAGGTTGTGCCACCAACACTAGGCCGGAAGACTTATGGTCTCCAGGGATAAGGGAAGGCAGGTTAGGCCTCAGGCCCTGGGTGACGGGATGGAGACAGAGGACCCCCCCTCCCCATCCTCTGACCTGCATGGACATGTGGAGGCTGACCTGTGAGGAGTAAGCAGAGGGCTGATGTCCAGCAAAACTACCTGTATGCCTCTGTTAGCCTTGTGGCCTTCAGTGTTGGGCCTGGCATTTTACAGAAGGTGCTGTTGTTGCCAGCACTAGCTGGCACAGTATGGCCTTGACTTGAGTATACAGTTTACCTAGATTTCTTCACTTAGCTTATGCTACAGGCTGTTCCTCATGTTGGTTCCTTGGGCTTGGATGCTCAGTCCTTGGGTTACAGTCCAGAGTTCAGGGACAGGTGTGGGGAGAGCTGAGCTTGGACACATCTGCTACCCAACGTCTAATAATATTTGTGTCTCTTTTTTCCCCAATCAGATCTGAATTCCAGAGAACAGGAGACCTGCCAGCCAGTGCATGTTGTCAATGTGGACATTCAGGACAACCATGAAGAGGCCACCCTGGGGGCATTCCTTATCTGCGAGCTCTGCCAGTGTGTGAGTCTGAGCACCTGGGTCCAGGCAGTCCTTACCAAAGGAAGTAGCTGTGAGACCGTCTCCTGTTGGGGCAAGAGGAGGGGCCTTCTCATCACTAGCAACTTATTTTCACATCCTGGTTAAATATAAATTTCAAATATAGAGCAAGAAGTACACAGTGTAGGAAGTTACCAAGTGGCTTTGGTGTAAGACACTACCTCAGTGTTTCTGTTCATGGTAGAAGAGATGTGTGACATCTCCCAGGTCTGACATGTCACCTTTTCCTCTGTTGGACAGCTAGAAGAGCTTACCTGGTATTGTCAAAGATATGTCTGAAAAATTCCAGAGGTAACATCCACAGTTTAGGGATATTTTTGTGTCCTTTTGCCCGATATTTATGTAGATATTTATCCTTAAGGCCCCTGGGAAATCTTGCATCTTCCTAAGGGCTTGTGTGTGTACCTGCTGTTTAGAGGTGTCCCACTGTTTTGGTGCTATGGAGGGACTTTGTGGGAAGAGCCATGTACCTTGTCCTGCCTTTTGCCCTTGAGAAAGATGTTTAGGTTAGCTGGCTGTGACAGAATTGATGTCCTCTGGCTCACCAGGTAGAGGCTGTCAGGGAAGTTGGTGTGGGGGATCCACATTCCTGCTAAATGCACCATGGCTTCCGCTCAAGTTTCAGCTGGTGAGCTTGTGGTTTGGCTGATGATTTATATTTTCACAACCAGAAACTGTTGTCTGGGGGATAGAGGCCACATGTGCTATTGACATGCTGCAGTGCACATGGTCAGCCTCTGTGCTGGACAGTTCTAGAAAATGCCTATGTTTCTGTGCTTCACTTCACACATTGCAAGGTTGGGACAGCACTGGTTGGTGAGGCTTCTGTGCACAGAGCCTGAGTTCCAGCGCTGAAATCCAGTCCTCCCTTTGAATCTAACTCTACCATCCCCAATATTGGGTGCTACCGTGGTCATTGTGTAGGTCTGGAGCCCATCATCATCCATAGCAGGGGCTTCCAGGAAGGGGCCATTGGGACGGTCCTGAATCCGCCCCACTGCAGGAGGGAAGATGCAGCCCAGGGTGAGGGTGTGGAAGGCGTGTCACACTTACGGCTTTGCTTTCCTCAGATCCAACACACTGAGGACATGGAGAATGAGATTGATGAGCTGCTGCAGGAGTTTGAGGAGAAGAGTGGCCGAGCGTTTCTGCACACTGTCTGCTTCTACTGAGCCACCCGTGGTTGGTGAAGGGCCTGCCCTGCACAGCCACCTTTGGAGCCACATTTTCAATGTTTTCCCTTCTGATTTGTTTATACTGCTAGGTGTACATCACCAATGTACTGTACATATGGAATGAGAAGTACACAGAAATGCCAGGTTGTTGAATCCATTGTTTTTAACCAAAAGAAATAAAGACGGTTTACTGTACAGCCTACAGCAAGTGTCTGTTGTTGGCCTGCGTACCCCTTTTCTCTCCACTGCTGGGATTGTAGAAAAACTTAAATAAAATAATAGGCTGCTTTATTGGTGGGGGGGGCACGGACTTGGAATCACCACAAAATATGTTCTGCCGGAGGTCTTTGATTTGTCCTGAATTCCTGGCATGAACTCCTGCAGGGGAAGAGGCTCCCCAGGGCCCTTAAGTCCAGCTCTGCCCTGCCACATACCTCAGACTACCCTTTGCGAGCGAGGGCCAGTATCCTGGTGTCTTACAACCCAGGCCCTATGTGATCTGACATAACTGATCCTCTCCAGTTGGAACCTTTAGACACAGTGCAAGTGTGTATTTGGGGTTGCAGGTCAGCTGTTCTCTTACGCGTTTGTCATACAGGACAGGATTGGTTCTTAACGTTGTCAGCTCTGTGGACAGGACAAGCAAAGGCTTGGAACTCATCTTGGTTCCCAGTATCAGAGGCAGCCACAACAGGACCACAGACACAGTGCTGCTAGCTTCAGGCTATGGTCCAGCACCCCTTCCTTCCCAGAAGCCTACGAGTCTTCCCTACCTCTGCCAGGATGCTCCACGCCATCCTTGTTTGGTCCACTCCGCATCTCTAGCCCTCCTACCTCTAGTCACGTAGTCATAGTCCCTGGCTCCTCTGACCTTGTAGGCCCCTCCCCCGATGGCATTTTCTTGCAGGAGGAGGCTGGGTGCTGACCTTCCTGCCCCTCTCAGGAACCAGGGGACTCAGGAGGAGGGTCCTCACTTGGAAAAGTAGAGCAGAAACGACCACCCGGTCCAGGCCAAAAAAAGAGTCCAGCGTGGCACGGGGCAAGGAGATCAGAGCCTAGACTGATGAGATGGGGCAGAATGTGGAGCCGAGACCGGAGGGGAGGGGTCTCGGCCTGCGTCACAGGGAGAGGAGTGGAGAGCCTCGACCCTGGATGCTGGCGCGGGGCGGCGAAGTCCCTCCCCAAAGGCGGAGGCAGAAGGAGGAGGGAGGAGATAGTGAGGAAGAAAAGGAGGGAGGGAGAAACCTGGAGGAGGGAAAGGGGAGGAGGGAGGGGGCCGCCGAGCCGACCGCAGGGAGCCGGGCGCAGGGAGCACCGGAGGGCGGAGCAGAGCGCGGCCGGCGGCGGGCGGCGGGCGAGCGACCCCACGACAGCCCCCACACCTCTGCTTCCTGTGACCGCGCCTGCCCCCGGGGCCCGCGGCGGCCCTGCGCGCGAGCACTGACCTCTGCGGAGGCGGCGCGGGCTCAGCATCGGGCCGGGGCCGGGAGGGGCACCGGGGCCGGGGGGCGGCGCTCCGGCCCGGCCCGGCCCCGCCCGATGTCCATGAGTGCGAACACCATGATCTTCATGATTCTGGGGGCGTCGATCGTGATGGTGAGCGGAGGGGCTTCCCGCGCGCGCCCCCTGCTCCTGCCGCCCGCGCGCGCGCCTACCCCACCTCGCTTCCTTGTTTACCGGCCCGCGCGGCCTGCGCTGCCCTCCGCGGCTTGCCCTGCGCTACCCTCGCTGCTACCTTGCGCGGCCCGTGCCCCGGCTGCCCTGCGCTTCCCCACCCACCCGCCCACCCCGGCCGCCCAATGCTCCCACTCGGCATCCCCTTCGGCCCGGCCCACTCCTCGCCCTGACCGGTCATGGGCTCTTCCAGGCCATCGCGTGCTTGATGGACATGAACGCGCTGCTGGACCGATTCCATAACTACATCCTCCCGCACCTGCGGGGCGAGGACCGCGTCTGCCACTGCAACTGTGGCCGGTGAGTGCGCCCCGGCTCTAGGCACTACACGCGTGATCACACTTGTGCAGCGGGCCCTACTCGGCCGGCCGGTGAGCCGGGAGCAGGCTGGGCCTCAAAGCCTAGCTGAATGGTGGGGGCCGCTTCTGCCCGCCAGGTGCTGGGGGAGGGGTTGCCAACGGGAACCCCAGATCAGCCCGCTGCCTCCCTGGGAAAGGAAGCATAACTGAGTCCGTTAGGAACCCCTTCCTCCAGTTCCTGTAGAGAAGAGGCTGCCTGGTGGTGGCATTATGGGCCATGGAGCCTCCTGGTTCCGGGCCTGGAGGCCTGAGAGCAGCAGCCCTGAGTAGTGCCCACAGTGGAAGCCAGGAAGCTGGTTAAGCCTGGGACAGTAGTCTTGCCTATGGCCCAAGTCTTCCTCCTGGGCCTGTACTGTGTCCATGGCAGGCAAGTGCAGGAGGTCGACATAGAAAGGGCCTACCTGCCACAACTGATCACTGTGCAGAGGAGGAGCTGAAGTAGGCTGAGGTTTGTTCAAGGTCACAGCGAGACCCACCACACTCTTTAGGGACCTCCCCTTCTGTGCATGTGTAGTGATGAAGTCTTCTGGCTTGCATGTTTGTATGTCCATGTATGAAATAAACATCTTCTCATGAGCCGCGCATGTGTGTACTGTCTGTGCATATACATGTGCGTACACAGCGCGCTCGCACATCCGCATGCACTCATTCCAGAGATGCCCTCATGCGATAACCGTCCCTGCTGGACAGCCTAGGAGGAAGTGGAGAGAGGCTTCAGAGGATAGACTTGCCCAAGGTTACACAACTAGGAAAGAAGTGGACTAGAATCACAGAACCTCAGTTCTTTACCGCATCCTGTGCTTCTGTTCCAGAGGTCTGCATACACATACGGGGTACAGCAGGTCAGGACAGTTGCATGCCTCCTAAGTGCATATATGGGTATGGGTACAGGCAAGTGTGTTGCAAATCATGGGCATTACAGCAAGTAGAAAAGGGATGTATGTGCCCTCACGTGCGTTGGGCATGGTAGGAAATTTTGCTGTGTGGCCACATTCCCAGAGAGCCCTATGCTCTATCTTGGTGCACACCATCTATCTATCTGGTACATCATAGGGCTCAGACACGTTCGCAGGCCAAGTCTGTAGGTGAGGTCTGAAGCCTTCCCAAGACAGAATCTAGTCACTGGGCCCATGAACATTGGGAATGGACACTACATATGGGGCCTGTTGTAATGGGGTTGGTTCAGCATTGTCCATGACAGCACACTAAATGTTTTACCTGAGCACAGAGTGTGTGTTCTTAGAGTCTGTTTATACAGGTTCTATATGTGCATCTCGTGTAGCATCCAGAGTACTTGTGGACTCATGTAAACAGACACCTGTAGATTGGAACCTGAAGAAAGGCCTGTGTGCGCAAGAGTGTCTACATGTATGTGCTTTGTACACAACTCTACATACAGGGTATGTAAATTCGTTGTACAAAGCACTTTTGTATATTGATTACATATATGTGTATGTGAAGTACATGTATATAAAACAATATACAGTTCAGTGTGCTCAGGGGAAATGTCAGAACGTTGCAGCGTGGATGCAGTGACAGCGGATTAGTTTGCAAATGGGGTATCTGTGCACATACCATGTACACATGTGGTGTCAACAGTTTGCCTATGTGTACATACTTTGCAGAATAAGTGTACACATGTGTCTGCCTTGTACATGGCTATTTGAAGAATTTTAGACAGAGAACATGTATGTAAGCTAATGTTCTGAACAAAGCACGTCAGCAGGCAACATTTGTGTGTACACACAGATCTGTGCACATTACAGCATCCCAGAGAGGGTGGCTGATTCAAAGCTGAGTGAATGTGCATCTATGTGTGACACACCATGCTCATACCCAAAGTGTGCACAGTGCATGGGTGTGGGGCTTGTGGGGCCCGTGTCCACAGTATACACGCCATGTCCTGTGCATGCGGACAACGTGTATACCAGACATTGACCTCAAGTGGACACATGGCAGCATGTGTCATGAAGGTAGGACACATGTATGTACATATCACAAACATTCATTTGTACACAGTACATCCTGCTTTCATTCGGAGGACCTAAGCCCTTACCTTCAGGGGCTTGGTGTGGGGTTAGGAGGAGTCAGGTCAGGGGAGGAGTTGTAGATACCTAAGTTAACTGTAAAGGCACAGGTCATAACTCTTAACCCCTGAGTTCTTTTGGCCTCAGGCTGGTTGGGACCTCACCTTGGCCTACTTGTAGGCTACCTAGGCTCCTTCTTGCCTCCGGAGCTTCTGTGTGCTTCATTTCCTGGAACAGCTTTATGTTGGGGACAGTCCAGAGGAAGAATTTGGGGACCCAGGCTGACCCAGTCCCACCAGAGCCTAACAGTCCCTGATGGTCTAGAAGTACTGCCTCCCCCCAGAGCCTGATGCAGCCATACTTTCTGTGCCAGGATTAATAGCATCCATCCATCCATCTATCCATCCACCCATCCATCCATCCACCCATCCATCCATCCATCCATCCTGATGATAGACAGTAGCTGTACATGAGCAGATGAGGGGTGGCTGCTAGGTGTCAGTCATGCTAGCTCGAGTAACTAAGGGCTGGCAGCCTAGGCTTTGCCTGCTGGGATTGGCTAAACTACACATCACAGAGTTAGCCCCTGGGGTTCCTTAAGATCAGAGGATTTGAGGACTGTCAAATCTCTCTTCCTGCCTCTCCCTCTCCCTGCTCATCTGGGCTCTGGTTTAAAGATTCCAGCCCCACTGTGAGGAAATATCCATGTGGGCCTAATTGGGACCAGGGACATCAGCAAATGGGCAGAAGGGAGGAAGAGGTTTTTATCGGGGAAAAGCTGAGGGTCTACTATAGGCAGACACAGGTTCCAGCCTCTCGCTGAAAGGAAGAAGAGGTGCAGGTTTAGGAAGCCAGAATCTATTTTCAGCATGCTTCTGAAGTATCTGTAGATCCCACGTGGAGACGCAAAGGCAGCTGGAGCTCCTGGCAGACATGGTGGGCAGTGGAAAAAAGGCCCACCCACTAGTGGCTCTGGAAAGTGGGGGGGGGGGGCAGGAAAGGCAGCCTCATAGCAGAAGCCCAGGCAGACCTTATACCATCAGGAAGGTAAAAGATGCTAAAACACTCTCGGTACCCAAACCAGTAGATCCTGACGTCCGGACTGCTGGCTTTGTGGAGGTGGACACTACACCTAGAACAGCAGAAGGACATTTCTGAAGGGATCGGCAGCCAGTGGGAACCATGTGGAACTTCAGTGCATGCTGAGGTGATCTAGGGCAAGAAAGCAATGGACAGTTCCGGGGAGCCTAGGACAGGGAGGAAAGAGGCACAGTGTGGCCAAGGCACAAAGAGACCCTAAAACCCATCCGGCATGGACCGGGATAGCTGAAAAGGGCCCATTGGAAGACCAGTAAGTGGAATAAAAGACATGTGGTGGGTCTGTGCTGGGTATGAGTGAGGAGAGGGAAGACTCCCCAAAATGAGCAGGAGGTAGATATAGACGCCGGAGGACCAAGGCAGGCGTTGTACCGGGAGAACAAGAACAAATGATATCTCTGTGGGTGGACTCCCCAGAGCAGGGTGTGGAGGCTGCAGGCCACGTCTGGTGGGCCTGGGTCAGTTGGCTGTACTAGGACCTTGGCAGAACCTCAGGGCCAGTAGGTGACTTGAACCCTGCCCGCTACAAGACTTTTGGAAGGATGGCGTATTGGGTGGAGCATCCATCCTGCCGTTCCTGCTCTCCTTGAACCTCACTCCTTATCTCCAGGGCTACAGTCTCCACCTGTCCCTGCAGTTCTGCCAGGCGACTTTATCGGTGCCTGGGGCTGCTGTTTCCCCTCCCAACCCAGCACACAGGGATCGCTTCAGAGAACTTCCCAGGGTGGCCCATAGGAGTCAAGCCGTCCACTTTGGGTCCCCTAACCAGCCCAGCACGGACCTGGGGAAGGCTGGGCCAGGGTTGGCAGGAGAGGTGCCAGCCCACCCTGCCGCCCCCAGGCACCACATCCACTACGTGATCCCATACGACGGGGACCAGTCGGTGGTGGACGCATCTGAGAACTACTTTGTGACAGACAATGTGACCAAGCAGGAGATCGACCTTATGCTGGGGCTGCTTCTGGGCTTCTGCATCAGCTGGTTCCTGGTGTGGATGGATGGTGTCCTGCACTGTGCTGTGCGCGCCTGGAGGGCTGGTCGGCGCTATGGTGAGTGCCTCGCGCTGCTGCGGGCACCACTTCTGACCCAGCCCGGCCACCTGACTGCCCTGTCCCCCTGCAGATGGCTCGTGGACCTGGCTGCCCAAGCTGTGCAGCCTGCGGGAGCTGGGCCGGCGGCCGCACAGGCCCTTCGAGGAGCCCACAGGGAACATGGTGCACGTGAAGCAGAAGCTCTACCACAACGGCCACCCCAGCCCACGGCACCTGTGAGTGCACAGGACTCGGGGCTGCTGTGCACATGTAAAGGGACCTCGTGGATGCTCAGCTGGCGAGACGGGACTGCGGCCTCAGGCCCAGGGTACGCTGGGCTGTGGCCAGCTGGGCTGTGGCCAGCAGGCAAATCCAGTGGAAGGTGCTGTCTCTTCTTTTTATAAAGGGGGTCGGGTGGGGGCTGGGGTTGGGATGGCCACTGGGCTTCAGGGACAGCAACCTGGTTTCCACAGTGAGCAAGACACAAAGGCAGGCTTTTAGAGGTGATGGGGCCAGGGGTGGTGGGTTCACAATGGGGATGGGCATGGCCTGGGTCATGCTAGCCTAAGGCCACATCTCATTGAAAGCCACTGTTTCCTGTGCACCTGTCGTCCATCCGTCCGTCTGGAGGGGAGGGATGTGTCAGGGCCTGCGCCCATCTGCACACGGGAGCATGTGCATGGGGCGTGTGCGACTGGAGGACTGGAGGGTGGGACTAGAAGGGCGGGCCCCCAGCAGCAATAAAGGTGTGGTGGCCCCAGGTGTCCCAGCCCTCACTGTGAAGCCCACCCTGCCTGGCCAGTAAATTCTCCAGAAAGCTCCAGCCTCTGCTTCTTCCATCATCTCTGATCCCTGGGAATACTGAGGGCTCCTTCATCAAGACTCCCACCTCAGCCAAGAGACAAGACCTGCAAATCAGTCAGTTTTATTAGATTCTGCAATTAAAAGGTCCAGTCAAGGGGAAGGTGGCACCTCTGAACCCTGGATGCCACCGCCAGGGGCTGTCTAGCACCAGATCCACTCTACCAAGTAAGGACTGGGCCAATTCTTGGCACAGATGTATGCAGGAGGAGTGTCCAGGAAGCAGAGGCCCTTCCTGCCTGTGGTCTGGTCCCAGCAGGTCCCAGTCTCCCTGGCACAGCCATAGCCTTGGGCCTGTGGTACAGCACTCTGCTTCCTCCATCCTCTGACCTGGGCTTGTAGACAAGTCTCTCCAGTGTACTGGGGTGCAGGAAGGCAGTACGCCTCTGCCAGCACTCATACAGAGAGACTAGGAGGTGTGGGAGGCAGAGAAGCTGACACCACCAGCATCCCGCAGCTGGGCAGGGACATTCAGGATAGGAAGAGGAGAGTGTGGTCACAGAGGCTGGCTGTCTCCAGTCAGGTGTACAAGATGTCCAGGTCCAGCTCAGCAGCTGAGGAGTCAAGGACACGGTGGCTTGCTGGCTTCAAGACTGGGTCTCTCTACCTTAAGCCACTGCATCTTCTGCTGGTGCTGCTGAACAGCATCCTGGACACGGGCGTCCATCATGGCCTCCGTGAGGACCCCATCCTCAGAGGCATATGCCATGGCCTGGTAGGAAAGAGAGCACAGGAGGAGAGGCTGGCTGCTTGCACAGGGAAGCCGGAGGCCCTCAATCTGGACCCAGAGGCCTTGGGCACTAGCACAGTGGACACACCTGTGCTTATTAGTGGACTCGGCCCAGTACTGCTTCAGATGAGTTTTTAAATGACTTTCCAGAATAGAAAGCCTGAACAGAGCTGATTCCCCTCCATGCACACCCAGGTAACTCCCTCTGAACAGGGCACAAATTTAGAACCCTCATAAGCCCTAAGTGATTATGGCTCCATCTCAGGCAGACATCAGGCCAGACAGCAACTACTCAGGCCAGGTTATACAGCTGTACACTTTACAGGCCTCCTGCTGCTGCCCGGTCCCTACCCTCAGGGTGGAAGATGTTCATGTGGTGTTTCTCTAATTAGAGCCAAGTGACACTGGCTAGGCTGCCCTTCTTCCTGTCTATTCACACTGGGTGAGCATGTTCCCTTCCACTGGTCAAGCTGCACACTTTAGACACTATAAAAGGACCAGGGCTCACAGTGGTTAAGACCATACTTGCTGGTTTTCTGCTTGAAGCAGAGCATGCTCCAAAAGACATCAGGATATTGCCTGAAAACGAGGCAAAGGGGTCCTCATGGACATCGCACAGAGGGGAACTGGGAGCTGGGACGCCTGAATGCAATGAAGGAAACACTCCAGGTTTTCCTCCTTGGGCACTAGGACATACCCTAAAGGAACAGGAATGCACAGTCATATGTAAGAGTTCTGCCAAGACTCAGTCACCTGTGAGGAGATGCCCATAACATAATGGCATTCTGTCCCCTCTGGATAAGTGGGACCACCAGGAACAGATGTATCAAGGTCCACTAAGCAGTTATGATTCACTGGGAGGAAGATTTGACCCTAGAGCCAGACCACCAACTTTGAGACGTGGTTGGGAGCCATGGATACTTTCTCCCAGCTTGAGCTCATCCAAGCCCAAAAGCAAGGTAGGTAGCTGCACTGGAGTCCTGGTTGGATGGGCAGGGTGGCAGCCCTCTTTAAGTGGCTACACCTTGCAGGGGCCAGCAGAGGAGAGGTAGATCTACATGGGCTCAGCGACTAGCCAGTCTAATAACTGAGGTTGGGTGAAGCACACCGGAATAGACATTGTGGCTCATGCTGTAGGTATTCTGGGCTGGACCATGGGCTACAACCAAGCCAAGGTGGAGGTAAACCCTGCTGAGAAGCAGCCAACATTCACAACCTTCTAGAGAGGACGGCATGGGTGCCTCTGCTCTGCTCTGTCGTGTAACTTCTCTGTAAATTTAAAACTACTCAAGTGTTTAAGTTAACTGGGTGTAGTGGTGTACCTGTAGTCCCAGCTATTCGTGAAGCTAAGGCAGGGCTGCTCGACTATGACATTCAAGGCCAGGCTGAGCAATGCAGCAAGAACCAGCTCAAAAATAAGTAAATAGGGGCTCAGCAGTTAAACACACTTACTGCTCCAGAAGACCTAGGGTCAGTCCCAGCATCCACACTGGGCGGCGGCTCACAGCCACCTGTAACCCCAGGTTCTCTCATAAAATCTGGCTGGTTTGTCATGTGCTATATAGACTAGGCTAGCTGCAGACTAGCTGCCTGCTTCTGCCTCTGCTGGAATTAAAGGTGTGTGCCACCATTCCCAGCCTCTTCTAGCCTTCATAGGCACCAGGCATGCATGTAGAACACACACATACACATGCAGGAACTCGCACATGCACATAAAATAAAAATAAACATTAGAGCATTTCAAGAATTAGTCTTGATCCTCCTTCCCCTGGACATTGACAGGGAAAGGAAGGAAGGGGACACTTCCCAGCAGCCTCTATGCTATCACCACCACGCTGACATCAAAGCCAGACAGGACAGCATTGGAACTAATAGACCAGCAATCCTGATGGGCAGGCCTGCAAAGTTCTAGGACCCGAGGCAGAAGTATTGACTGAGAGCTGTCGGCCAGCCCAGTCACATACTAAAACCTGTCACACATAAACAAAACAGAAAAGCCTAAGCCCAAGCTGATGGCTCATACTGTAATCTCAATATCTGGGAGCCTGAGGCAGGAAAATTGTAAGAGCATTCAAGACCAGTCCGGACTTCAGAGTGAAACCATGTTAAAACAGAAAAGAGGACTCCCTCACCTGCACAAGACAGACCACTTCGGTCTTCTAGCTTTTCATGACCCTGGGAATTGTGCCCAGGACTGAAGATACAAGGCACACGCTACCCCTGAGCCACACCCCCCAGCTTTCATTTCATCTTTAAATTTTAAGATAGGATCTCACTGTTTTCCCCAGGCTGACCGTGAACTTCAAGCCTCCCGTCTTAGCTTCCAAAGTGTGTGCTATCGTATTTTCCACTTGGTAATGGTCTCTTAAACATGACATTATAGACAACAAAACGGGAAAAAAAAATACATAATCAGACTCCACCAAAATTTCAAAGTTTTGTACACTAAGACAGAGGCAGATGCTTCTCTATGAATTTGCAGCCAATCTGGTCTACACGGCAAGTTCCAGGCCAACAACCAAAAAAAAAAAAAAAGAATATTACCAACAGAATTAAAAAAAAAAAAAAAAAAAAAAAACCCAAATGGAAGAAAACATAAAATCAGTTATCTGATAAAAGGGTAATATCCACATTATGTAAGGTGAGGAGCTCCTACAATTCAAGAAAGAAAACCCCACAACTTCAAGACTGAAGGAGAGGGCAGGGTTAAAAGCACTGGATGCTCTGCCGAAGAACCCAGGGTCAAGTCCCAGCACTCACATGGTGACCCACAACCTCATTTGTAACTCCAGTTCTAGGGCTCTGATACCCTTTCCTGACTTCTGCAGGAACCAGACTTTCACATGGTATGCAGATGTATATGAAATAAAAAACACACACATAAAAAAATAAAACAAACCATGTGTGATGCAAGGGTAAGAACGTGTTATCCTGGCACGCAGGGAGGGTAGAGGCTGTAGAGCAAGGAAGGATCTTTGCAACGTGCAATTGCCCAGAAGTCCCATGGGGATAGGGAAAAATAGACAACAGCATCCAGGTCTGTGTGTGCTGTGTGCAGCACCTTGGGTAGTTCTTCTATAGCTCCCATTCCTCCAGAGAACAGCCTAGAAAGACCTGTCTTGGCCACTCTGGCCAACTATCCAGACAGGAACCTCAGGGGGCATCCCCAGCTCTCTTCCAAGGTCTATCTGGACCGTTGCTACTCACTCTGATAATACATTAAGTGAGAGAGGTAAGCTGTTTTGTTGGAAGTTGGAAGTCAGATGCTAAAGGTCTGACATCCACATTGGAAATGTATTAAAGATCACCCTTCAGAGGAAGCAACATCACTAAAATGAGGGCACAGAAAGGGTCCCTAGTTCCTCGGTCTAGCACGAAACACAAAAAGCTCATGCTGTTTGTTACATGAAGACCCAGCAAGACCTTGCCCTCTAATAACCAGGAAACAACCCTCTTCAAGATCTGACTGTGCTGACATTGACCTTTGTACTTCAGCCTCCAGACTGTGGGAAGACAATTTCTTGTTTTTTAATCAGTCCACCTGTACTGTGCTAACCTCCCTGTTCTCGGTCATCGGTGTGAAAACAGACCCTAAGTGAGGACAGACCAGAGTCACTCACTAGCCACAGAAGGGTGCAGACTTCAGTATGCTACAGCAGCTAAGCTAGCATGTTTAAACTAAAACTATCCCTAGAGTACCTAGGCTACAAAGTCCAAACCTAAGCAGGACTGTCCTATGCACACCCAGATAGGCACTGAGAAGTTTAAGTAGCTAGGCTGTCACTTGGTATACACAGTTGGCTACAAGTACATGCTGAAGTGTGAGGTGGTCACAGCACCCTGCATTATTCCATCAACATGACCTTTCCTGACAACACCTGAGGCTGAAGCTCCTAAACTGCCCTGGCCCTGCTGTGGGTGTTCCCTGCTGCAGGACCATGGAGCTGTTGATAGGCAGCTTCAAGGGAAAAAACAAGGTTTTCAGGCATGACAGTAGGCCATTGTGGTCTATGTACCTTCAGCCAACATCCTTGCCTAGCCTTGGAAGGAGTGTTCCTGCTCCTTTATTAAACTTCATCATGAACTTGTCCTATAAAGCTAGATAGCTGTGCCAGGCAATGGTGACAAATGCCTATAATCCCAGCACTCAGGAGGCAGAAACAGGCAAATGGATCTCTGAGTTCAAAAGCAAGTTCCAGTACAGCCAGAGCACACAGGGAACCCGTTTAAAAACAAAAAACAAAAAACTGGAAACAAAACAAAACAGCCAGATACCCAAGAATACCTATACATGAAGCACACATCTGTTGATAGAGAGCAAGAACTCACGGCTCAACTACAACTGTCTTAACAGACAAGCCAAAGAAGCAGCTCTCTATACTTGCCTAGAGACCCTTGCACATCTACTCTAGGACCCTGACTTCCCTAGGACTCAGCAGTGCCCCACATTAGGGCCTGGACATGCTGAGCCAGTGACAGTATCACCCCATCATCCCTGAGTGACTTATCAGTCCCTGAGGTAGTCTTAGTAGAACCAAGGGCCACATTCCTATCCTTCAACATAAAACCCCCTGTGATGAGACTGGGAAAAAGTTTCAGAGTAGGTTTAGTTCCAGGATCTTAACTCACCTGCCATGCCACAGCAAGCTGAGCAATCTCCCGGCCTGACATCCCCTCCGTCAGCTGTGCCACCTCTGAGCATTTCTTTCCGTAGTCAAACTGGGCCACCTTCAAGCGTCTGGAGGAAAAGTTCCCGAGTGGGCCTGGGTGGCCATGGCTCTACACAAAGGGGGTTGGGGAGATGGGAGCAAGGCTGCCTAATACCACACTCTCAGATGCTTCCACCTGATCTGGGTAACATAGGTGGGCTTTTTTTTGCACAGCGCAAGTTGGATGAGGTAAATTCAGCGTTCCTTCCTGACCTACAGGAGAGGGTCAGGTTGGAGCTAGGCATGGTTGTCCAGATGGAGCCATACTCTCCCAATCTGCCTTCACTCCTACTCACTAGACCCAGCCTACAACTACATATTCAGCACCCAAGTAGCAGAAGTAATGAAATGCTCAGCCAATGACGAAATGCTAAAAGAGCAGGTAGATCTCCAGGTAAGAAAATAACAGTTAGTATAGAGCCCTGCCTGCGATCAGAGTTCCCAGTAGTAACATCTGACCAAAAGCCACAGAAATCATACATTAAACATGAATACAGGTTGTCTGAGCTGAGGCTGGGGTCATGAGGCTGGCAGGAGGCAGGGGACCTGGCCAATCTGCATGGGGGATGGGCCCATAGGCAACAGCAGGGTCAACCCATGTTTTCTCCAGGGAAAGGCAACAGGCAGCAGGAGGGATTCAGGTCAGGTCAGGACGTGAACCCTGGGTGCCATGGAGCCTGGGGCCCAGGAGACAGCGGAAAGCAGAGCGGCCTCTGCTGACAGGAGGCATGGGAAGCGCACTAGACAAGGTGAGGGCTGCATAAACACTGAAGCTTCCTCACTGGAGAAGCATCCAGCAGTTCCCCCTGCCCCCAACATGGCTGCACAGCAGCTCCCAGGAGGAGTGACAGGGTGGTAAGCAGAAGAAAACTGTGTCACTCAGTCAACAGCTGAGGATGGTAACTGGCTGCTTCCAAACCTGGTAAAAGAGACCCAGCAGGGGCTGGAGAGATGGCTCAGTGGTTAAGAGCACTGGCTGTTCTTCCAGAGGACCCAGGTTCAATTCCCAGCACCCAGTTGGCAGCTCACACCTGTCTGTAACTCCAAGATCTGACACCCTAACACAGACATACACACAAACAATATACCAATGTAAATGAAATAAAAAATAAATTATTTTAAAAAAGAGAGGCTGGGCGGTGGTGGCGTACACCTTTAATTCCAGCACTCAGAAGGCAGAGGCAGGCGCATTTCTGTGAGTTCGAGTCCAGCCTGGTCTATAGAGCTAGTTCCAGGACAGCCTCCAAAGCCACAGAGAAACCCTGTCTCAAACCCCCACCCCACCCCCCCCAAAAAAGAAAGAGAAAGAGAGAGACTTAGCAAACTTAAAAAGATTCTATCCACACCCAGGGGTCAGGGACCCGGGCACTTAAAATCAGCTCATGAAGGTAAGCTGTAGAGACAGGCTTGCAGCTGTCCCCAGGTAAAGAGCAGTGAGAGGAAGGGTTGAGTCCCCAGACAGAACCACCTTTGACAGGACACATGTACAGAATGTGACCTTACACAGATGGCCTAGACCCCAGGAAAATGAAGTGCCCAGATAGGTTCCAGGTCACAAAGGGGAACCCACGGGGCTGGACACTTACTGCTTTCCTTCTGTGGCCGGCTTAAGGACATACTTGTCAAAATACATTCTCACCAGGCGCTCACGCTCCTCCCGCTGAGGCAGGGCAAAGCAGACCATCTCGTCAATGCGGTCATTGATGGCCCAGTCAAACTGCTCAGGCTGGTTACTGGCCAGGACCAGCATGAACCTGCAGCCACAAAGTGCATGCTGAGGGCTTGTCCAATCCCAGGTCACTCAGGGGCAGAAGGGTCTTTTAAGCATCCTTGCGTAAACTTCATAGATGGATGTAATTTAGCGCTCTCTTGTTCCTTCTCCCCTTCCTGTTCAGGTTTTTGTTTTGTTTTGGCAAGTGTTCAGCCACTGAGATGTACCTCTAGCCCCTGGCGGCTTTTTAACTTAGGAAACCACAGGAAGACCCAGGCCCACAAGCCTATGTGTACAACCTATGATTGAGGTGGCCTAGTATCCTAAGGTTCTGTTGTTGCCCGCAATGGCCCTGGGCCAGGCCATAGCCACAGCAAGTTAGGGGATATCTGTGACTGATAAGATGGCCACCAGCTCCTAGAAGACTGACTGGGTCCTACCCTGGTGGATGAGCTAGCTAAGGACAGGGTTAGGAGCCTGTCTGACCATAGGCACCCATCCTAGCCAGTGGCTTCTGGGAAACAGTCCAAACTGGGGCGTCTTTCAAGCTCTAGATGCTATCCAGTCCCAGTAGTCCAGATAAGGACCACAACTCCATTCTGCGGACACCTTGTGGGGACCAAAGATAACGATGCCCAGAAGTGCTCTGCACAGGGAGCTAGGGGCAGGAATACACTTACTTACTACTATGTTGTCCTGTCCTATGTAGGAATGCATTCAGAGTAGCCCTGAGGTCTTCACTTATCTTTTCCTACAGAGAGAGAGTTTCAGTATCAGTCTCTAGCCTGAGGAGCAGTTTTGTACATAGCCAAGGAAAAGTGTCCACAGGAGACACTGTTGGGAGGGCAAGGCAGGCAGGCAGGGGTTAGAAATACAAGCCTAATTTGACAGCCAGAACTTGGATTCCTGGTGTTTAGCATCTTCAGGACTGTGGTTCAATGCCCGGTTCTTCAAACTGAGAAGGAGCCAACTGAGCAGCAGTCTCAGCTAGCACAGCATGAAGATTTAGCCCTTCTGTGCTCTGGGACACAGCAAGCTCTAGGCTGGTCCCCTGCTAAACTGCTTAGCACACCCAGCTCTGACCAACCCCCACAGATAGTCAGGGTTCCAAAACACTCACAGTTGCTCGCTTCCTGAGGAAGGCATCTGCTTCATCCACAAAGAGCAGGAGGCTGTGAACCAGAGGGTAGTTAGGCAAGGGGATGCTTGGGGCCTACATGCCAATGCCTGGAAGCTCCCAGAAGCAACAGGAGGTATAGGGCAAACCCCTGGGAGAAGATGCCCCACAGAGCACAGGCCTTGCCCTGTCAGGGACTCTTAACATCCTGACTCAGGAAAAATAGAAATCAGCTTTAAGAACCCCAATAGTGAGAACCCAACTGCAGCTCTAATGGTATATGCTGGGCAAAAGAATGCTCCTCCTACCCACAGGTCTCGTTCAAGGCCTCCACTCTAGGCCGGAATAAGGGCTGAGTCGCATGTGTTCAGCATTAGGAAGAAGTGGTTATCCAAGGTAAAACGGCAAAGACCAAAGGAAAGGACTTAAGAAGACACAGTGGCAATGCCAGGGACACTTATAACCAGCTATGCAATGCTGCTTGAGTTGACATATTATCCTCAGCCAACGTTTGGAGGGGTCAACACAGTCAAGGAGGCCTAGCTCTATTCCCCTCTCTATTTGAGCTAGCCATTTACTCATGGCAGTAATTTTATCTGGCAGTATCCTTGTATTAGAAGCCTCGTGACTATACGTCCACCCTCGGCATGATATTTTTTTCTAATGGATCCTTCAGCACCCACCCCTAGGTATCTTCAGAATCTAGAGGCTGCCCATGGACTTCCACAGAATATCAAAGACAAGATAGTGGGGAGACAGCAGGGCCCGTGCTGGGTACCTGCTGGGCCCCTAGGAGTGGGGACCTGTGTATGTGGGGGTTGTATGCTCACCCTCGTCGGCTGGTGCTTGCCCAGTCGAAGACCTTGTGCATGGCGGTCACACCCTCCCGCCCCATGGGGGCCACGTCCCCGCCTGTCATGATGGCGTAGTCCATGCCTGAATGCAGTGCGAGTTTCTGGGCAAGGAGGGGTGGGGAAACAGAGCAGATGTTCCCTCCCAGACTCCCAAGCCCACGGCTGTACTAGCCAACCCTGCCCAGCATGGACGGTCCCCCACCATCAGAGCTGAGGTGGCCTCTGAATGCACCACAATGTCCTGAGGGTCAGTGACAAAAACTGCCCCAGGGTGAGATGTCCAGCAGCACCCAGTCCCACCTTCACAGCCAGGCATTTTTACCTTGGCAAACAGTGTCTTGCCAGTCCCTGGTGGCCCATACATCAGGACGTTTCTATACAGGCTTTTGTTCTTCTTGGTATTTCTTGTTGCGATTGCAATATCTCGGACCCGGGCCTCCAGGCTAGGCTGCCAGAGCAAGGTGAGGTTGGGGAACCTGGTCTCCCAGCTTACAGACAGCCTTAGGGAATGGAAGGACTGTAGGTGTTCTAGTACAGCCTAGTCATTGTGGATACTGGACTGGCCTAGGGAGTATCTGAATACAGGACCCCAAAGCCACAAGCACAAGGCTCACATAAACATAGTAGTTAAGCTTTGCTGTCCCTTCCCTGGGGCCCACAGGGCTTCCCAAACCACAGCTGCCACAGTGACTTACACTGAGGATGACACCCTCCAGCGCATCCTGGGGTCGGCTGACCAGGCGCTTGCTGACCTGTAGGGGAAACCGTCACGGTTGGCAGGACACGGAGCCACCATGAAGTACTGCCCCACAGAGCCCAAGACTAGTACCAAAGCTGGAGAACCAGCCTGGGTATTTATCAGCTCTTTCTATACGTTTTTATCTTCCCAACCACTTTCCTGAGTAGCTGAAGAGACCCAGGTATAACCATCACAGAGAACAGGTCTGTCAGAGAGAGCCAAGAGTAGCTCAGCCCAAGGAAGGTGCTAGACACCATGCTACTCTCTCATCTTCTATGCCAGGACAGACCCTGAGCTCAGGTCATGAAGAGCTTAAACTTACTCAGGGAGCAGTTACATAATTAGATAATACTGATTCAACAGGCCCCATTGGTATAGCATAATCATGACAAAAACACCCATACCAGCATGAGAGATGGCAGAAACTGTTGTTTGAGTAAAAGAGGAAGGACAGAGAAAACGTGCACCAGTTGTTTGTGATATGGGAAGAAGCCTGGCAAGGACGTGGAAACCTGAAACCTTACTTTGGCCATACCTGGATGGGATGCCTCAGTGCCTCCAGCACCGAGATGCGGGAGGTTTCCCTCACCAGGGATGGCTTCCCCAAGCGGGCCTCAATATACCGACCAGCAACAGTAGTAGCATTTTTGGCAGAATAGACTCCAACAGCCAGTAGTGTCAGTCCAGCCACCTGAGAGAGAAAAGCGGTAATCTATGATGAACCCCTGCTCCACAGTTCATCCTGTACCCCACGAACAGCTAAGGCCATGTGGTAGTTTAATGTCTGCAATGGACCCTGGTTGGATCCCTAACCCCATACTGCAGTCAACCAACGCTCACTTGCATACTTCAGGTGACAGCGAGTGCATACCTCTGGCACTCCCCATCAGAGCATCTCTCTTCGTGCCTTATAACTTGAGCCCTCAGAAGCAGAGGTTGTAAGAATGTGGAATGTGGCTAAACAGGGCTGGAAACTCACTAAGCCTTTCCTGCCTTCCACTACTTTCTTACCACTGACAAAGTTAAATTTCATTATTGGAAAAAAAGGCTAACTATAAGCCACAAATTGCTTTTAAATGGTAATGTATTAGCACACCAAGCATCTGCACAGAGCGGGGGCATCATCCAGGATGGATGCTTTACTGGCGAGTTCCTGCCTAGCATTCCTAAGACCTGAGGTTCCATCCTCAGCATCCTGAACAATAAAAATAAGGTACCTTCAGCATTCCCCTCTAAGGGATCACCCTCTGCACTTAGCACAACATCCACAGTGGCCTGAAGTCTAAGATGCCTCAATGCTTCTCCTACGTCACAGAACACCTCCTGCCTCACAATTATGGAGCTGGCTGGGAATACACTACCAAAAATGCCAGGTAGTTGGGCATGGTGACAAACAGATAAAGGCAGGTGGATTTGTGAGTTTGGGGACTAGCTGGTCTACATAGCAAGTTCCAGGACAGCCAGTCCTACATAAATCAGAGCTACATAATAGAGAGACCCAGTCTCCAAAAAAAAAAAAAAAAAAAAAAAAAAACAGATAAAAATAATTACCATTTAAAAAAACCCAGGCATTGGTGGCACACACCTTTAATCCCAGCTCTTGAGAGGCAGAGGCAGGCGGATCTCTGTGAGTTCGAGGCCAGCCTAGTCTACAGAGCAAATTCCAGGACAGCCTCCAAAGCTACACAGAGAAACCCTGTCTCGAAAAAAAAAAAAAAAAAAAAAAAAAAAAAAAAAAAAAAAAAAAAAAAAAAATCTTACTATTACCATCTTCCAAGGACACTGGAAAGAGAGCTCTGACCCCTTCCTGCATTTGTGCCTGGATTAGAAATTTGAAGCCTCAAGGTAGGCTGCCACTACCATGACTAGATGTGGCTTGTCCCTCAAAAGTTTACATGTTGAGTACTTGATCTCATGCAATGCTGCAGATTTTGCAAACCTCTTCAGAACAGGGCCTAGTAGAAGTCTTTAGATGGCCCTATTCAGACTTTCCAACACCAGATAAACTTCCTTGCTTGTAAGTTAGTCCTTGCTAGCACAACATAAAATGGATTAAAGGCAAGACTGAATCATCTGAAATGCCTTAAACCCAAAACACTCTATCACATCTCACTATAGTTCTTTTTTGTTTGGTTGTTCTATTTTGAGACAGGGTTTCTCTGTAGCTTTGGAGTCTGTCCTGGAACTCACTTTAGACCAGGCCTCACTATAGTTCTTAAAGACAGTTGTTGCAGCTCATGTGCCTGATCTGTGCTAGGTTTCTCTGCAAAACACCCGGTGTCCTCATAGCCAGCAGGTAACAGGTAAGACACTCACAGGGAAGTCCCCAGAGAGTGTGCCCCAGAGCTGCCCACTAGGTTCACCCATAGGGACGTATGGTAGTACACACCGTGGCTGTTACTTTGTCCCAGTCTGTCACAAAGGCACGGAATCCTTCGCCAAACAAGGTGCCAGCTGTCCTGCATGGGGGAAAGGTCACATTGACTTTCTAGAAGAGATACCTGGCTACAGAAGGTCAAAGGAAAGAAATGAAAAATGAATGGAACCCTTTAAGGCTCTTCAGATCAGTCTTACAGGAAAGTCTACCAAGGTGGGGTGTTTAGAGTTGGCCCAGAGCTTCAGGATGAAGAGGTGAGGGGACATTCAATGACCAGTAACTTAGCAGCTTAAACTGGGGACCAGAAGACAGATGGACAGCAGGCACTGGGCCCTGGCTGCATCCTTACCTGATAGACTCCAAGATGGTCTGACGGTGTTCAGCAGCCTTGAGGCGAATCTGTTCCCGGATGATGTCTGCATTCTCTCTATCAGCCTTGGCCCGGGCTCGGGCCTCAGCTTCTACCCGCAACATCTCATTCTTATGCCGTAGCTCCATCTCTCGCTCCACAGTGGCTGCCCCAGGAAAAGGCAAAGACAGTGGTCTTCAGCCCATAATGTGCCTGCCTCTGCCCACATTGCTGACATGCAAACACAAACCTAGATATTGCATGGACCAGGAACAACAGTGTTATAGTGAACAACCCGTTCGGCAGAGCACACCCTTCTGTCAGGTGCAATAGCCCGGACCACCCTTAGGATGATGTATTATAAAAATAAACAAAAACATTGATAATCACAAGAAAAACCTACTTATACTGACATCTGACAACCAAAATACCAGAAAAATCATGAGATGCAATAATGTGTACCTATTTGTCAGCAATAAGAACAAAACACCAAGCAATAAGCCACTGTCACTGCACAATGAAGCAACAAATTGCCCTTCCTGACAGACTCCTGGAAATGTTCTTCCTGCTGGGACACATGTAAACTTGTGGGCCCAAGGACAAATGATGTTCTACCACAGGAGCTAAGGCCATGCAACTTTCCTATCCAAATTAACTAGTCTCAGAACTACAGGCTACAGATGAAACTTCTGCTGAGGATTAGCTCTTTGAAACCAAGGTATCCAGATGTGTGTGGTGTCAAAGCAAATGCTGTAAACACAGTTCTTACTTAAGATCGCAGTGGACCTCTGTGCAGACATTTCTTAAGGACTAAGAGACCCAAACAAGCCACCCAATCTTAGTGACCCACCCCCCTACCTCGACGAATGGCCTCCTGCTTCTGCACAGATTCCTCTTGTTTCCTTAAATTCTCTTCATTCAGAAGTTGCTGAGAAAGTCACAGGAAAGGTAAAAAGCTTTTGAAAATCAGAAAGACAACCAAAACCAAGCCAACAGGTTGCAGCTGCTCTGAGTCAGGAATGCTTCTGTCCACCTGAGGAGTCCCAACTTTCTTGGGGCTCTAGTTGGTACGCTCCAATACAGGCACATGTGATGTTGGCCCAGGACATGCACACATTAAGGGCCTGGCTTCAGAGCTGCCCCACCTGCTGGGGCACAAGCAGCCTTTATAGCAGCTTCACTAGTATGGTTCCAAGACTCCCAGGGTTTACATCTGTGCTCTATGGTTCTTATAGATGTCTAATCTTTGCCTACTGAGATTAACAGCTATAATGCCTCAGCAAACAAAACATGAACATTAGCCTGAAGCTGATGAGTCTCTGTAGCAAGGAGCCAGCATGGGTCAAAGGAGGCCTAACCAAGTTTTGGATTACCCAGGGACCCTGTCCACTGTTCACTGAGCTTTCTAGTTAGACCGATGTGTATTTAGCAAGAACCCTCAAGACCCACCTCTGTTGTGGAAGCATCATAAGAAATTATATGCACGGGCTTGGGTATGTACTTGGACATGTCTGTACACATGTCTAAGTGTATAGGATGTCTGAATTTAGGTACGTGTCTGGGGACGTCCATTGTGCACACAGGCCCATAAGTATGTCTGAGAAAATTCACCCAGGATCAGCAACACTTGCATTCTTGACCATGAACTCAGCTGCATCATCTCCTGTGTTATTGGACCGACCACTCGTTATCTCTCTGAGCCATGCCTTTCTTACCTGCTGCTTCAGCTGGTCCTCGTAGCGTTGTCGAGCTAGCTTATCCTGGTACTGGGCCCTCTAGGGAAAGAAGTAAAGACACACCTTGGCTGGAGAAGCCACTAGAAAGATCAGAAAACATGATCTGGTCCTACCCTGGAGTGGCTGCTGAGGAAAGCTATAGGTGGGTTGCCACCTTCCACAAACATGCAGGTGCAGGACGGCTTTGTACCAAGGAGGCTATGGGTTTTGGGTTACTGTCTTTATTTTTACCATAGTGGTCCAGCTCCTAATACAACAACTATCAACCACAGCTGGTCAGTAACTAAAAGATCCTGAGTGGCACCTCAATGTACCACCCCCACTCCTGTTACCCCACACCTCCTGGCGGAAGTGGCTGCCCCGTGCACTTACTGCCTGGTGCTGCCGGGTCTCTTCGCTTAGGGTTTTCCGTCTTTCCTCAGCTTGCACACGGATCTGTTCGCTCTTGAGTTGCTCTACAGCGGCTTCATATTCCTGCAGAACACAGGAGTACCATGTGAGACTCACACCGTCTACAGCCCATTCCATGGTGCTGTAAACTACAAAATGGCAGCATCAAAGGCCATGCCAACTGGCCTATGCAACAGGCTGGGGTAAGACAGAGGTACTTTTAAAAACAGTCTGAACAATATACCCCCCTAAGTGGGTTCACAACACTGGGCAAATGGACAAGACCAGGCCCAGAGATCAGGATGTTTCTTACTCCTTTACCCTGAGAGCTCACATTACAACTGTACTGTATAACAGACAAGGACTACGTACGGAGCCTGGCTCCATGCTCACTAAAAACTCTGACATCCAGGGTTTTCCTTTTAGGTTTTTGTTGCTTGTCTTTCAAGACAGGATTTCTGTGTATCCCAGGCTGACTTGGAACTCAGTTAGCCACCTGCTTTTATACCTCCCAAGTGCTAGGATTAAAGGGTGCACCACACCCAGCCTCAAGGGTCCTTCTGAGTGCAGGAAATAAAATAAAAATCAGGTGTTATGGCACTTAAGAGGCTGAGACAGAAGGATTGCTGAGAGTTTGAAGTCAGTTTGGTATACACAGAAAAATGCTATCTTAGTCAGGCAGTGGTAGCACATGCCTTTAATCCCAGGACTCGGGAGGCAGAGGCAAGAGGATCTCTTGAGTTCATGGTCAACCTGGCCTACGGAATGAGACCAGGACAGCCATGGATACACAGAGAAACCCTGTCTTTAAAAAAAAAAAAAAAAAAAAAAAAAAAAAACTGAAGGAAGCAAACAAACAAAACACCTGTGTCAAAACTAACATCAAAAACATAAAACAAAAGAATTTCAAGAAAGATTCCCTACCTTCAAAAACTCCAGACATTCCTCACCTACAGCTTACCTCTCAGGTACCTTTACTACAGAATCATAGCCATATACTCAGCATCCTGTCCTTCAAAGAATGGAGGACACTCCCATAGGTCTCTCATCTGTGAAATGGTTCTCTTACACCCTCATGGCACCAGCCCACAGTTCACCTTGAGTTTAGACTGTTGTTCCAGCTGTAGTGTCTGCTCCTGCATCTGCGCAAGGTTCAGCGCCTCCTTGGCATGGCCTGTAGAGTATAGGAGGGTCAGAGAGAGGGTATTAGTACACTGACAACAGACATATCTGTGTGGCCCCAAACAGAACCTCTCACTCATGCCAAGGGGCTTTCTGAGAAACAACACTCAATCTTGAACCATGGCTGCCCCCTACTCGGCCTACATCACTTGCCTACCCATTCCAGATTCCTACAATGTCCTCTCCTTTCAAAGCTGCTGCTCCATCTCTAACAGAGAACCTGGTGAGTTTGTGCATGCAGCTTAGAGTTTGCCCAGCATGCAGAAAGTCCCAGGTTGGATCCTTAGCGCCACATAAAACCAGGTGTAGTGTGCATGCCTATCATCCTAGTACTCTGAAGGTGGATGCCAGAGGAGCAGGAGCCCAGAGTCATCCTCAGCTGCACTGTGCTTTGAGGCTGGTATACATGAAACTTTGTGGGCAGGGGAGTGGAGGGGAGGAGACAGCTCATAAGAGTTGGTAAGAGCCCCTGATCCCAACGCCCAGGGGATCATCACACTGCCAAGAACTCCATCAGAAAGACCACCATACTCATCCAGGGTGGGGTTGTGGAACAGTGACGTGACTGGCATTTTCCAATTAGGGAAGCAGAGCTCTGATTGGTGTCCACAGCTGTACCCGTTAATGATGTTAGAAAATATACAGGCATGCAAGGATGAGTAAGGGTTAGATGCCAGACAAGGCACCTAGGTTATAAATGCCTTCTGTGTGTGTGTCAGGTGGCATTGATGTTTGTGGATACTTATGGGAAAAACTTTACTTCTAGTACACTCTAAAGAGGTCTCCAAATTTTCCATGATAATTTCCCCTTACCAATACCTCATTGTAAAAACTTTCTACCACAGAAACTGTGGGAGTGAAGATCACCAGGTTATCCCCTACACTTAACCCCTACATCCCATCCCCATGACTTTTCTCATACACTTGAAGTTTCCAAAGTCAGATGCAGCCTCTGCATGTTATTTTTGAGCTCAACAAGCACTGTCACTAACCAAGCTTCAATGTTGCTAACCAGAGCTTAACATGTGAGCGGTGTGAGTATCCAGAGGGAAAACGGCTAAGACAGGAGGTATCATGGTAAGAACGTTTCACAGGGTTAGATGGCCACGGCCAACGTCTTGGCATTTGTGATCAATTTACACAGAGCACATGGTTTGGCATGAACTCCACCAATGGGTAGCAGTATCCAAGCTTGGGAAGGATCATCCAAGACAACCTCCTTCTAGACTCTCAGTAACCAGGACGGAGGACAAAAGAACTCACACCTGAAGACTCTCCTTCTAGACTCTCAGTAACCAGGACGGAGGACAAAAGAACTCACACCTGAAGACAGACAGCAAGCAGCAAGCCCTACTCTAATTCAAGTAGTAAGCTTTGAAGCCAAGAGTTGAGCAGACCACAGAAACCCCGGACACTCTGAGAGGGAATAGCAATACTCTCTGGGGCCCCCATCTCAACATAGTAAGACAGGAATGGGAGTGTCATAGTCCAGCAAGTCCGGGACCAAATCCCACTCCTGTTTATTCTTCCTATGACTTTGGCAAGCTCAGCTAACTTCTCTGTTTTCATGTGAAATGAGACAGAACGGGGTAAACCGTTTAGTCCTGGGACATGTAGAACCCAAAGGAGACATTGCTGGCCCAGAAAACAGAGCTCTGTTAAAGCAGAGGTCAGGGCACTGGACCCAGAGGGAGAATGTTCTGGGCAAGAGCTTCAGGGCTGCCAGTGCAGGCACCTGGAGAGCAATTTATATGCAAGAGTAGTCGGGATGTAGCAAAGGGCTGGAACTGCACCCCAGTCTGTAACAGGCTATAGCTGTGGGACTAATTGCCAAGACTGAATTCTGAAATTCTAGGTGTTACTAAAGAATGACCCCTCGACCCAGGAGTCACCAAGAAAAGTGTCCCCTATACAACCCCGTAACAGGACACTGGGTCATCTGTCAAGTCTGCTAACACTGGAAATGCCTTGAAAACCAGCCACTGAGATTACCTAGCAAACATTATAGATCATTTACACATTATTAGCTCTGCTGGGCCAAAAGAGACAGGTGATCCTGGTACCAAATCTATGGGTATATGAGTCCGCAGGCCTCAGAAACCACTGCCCAAGACTTGACAGGATCTCACTGTGTACCCTGGTTGGCCTGGAACAGTGTAGACCAGACCAGACTCAATCTCAGAATTCTGTCTGCCTCTCGATCTCACTGTGTACCCTGGTTGGCCTGGAACAGTGTAGACCAGACCAGACTCAATCTCAGAATTCTGCCTGCCTCTCAAGTTGTAATTAAATGCATGAACCACACTCCCAGATTAAGACAAGAACAGAGAATTGATTCACTAAGTGCCAGACCCTCTCTGAGAGGCTCTGCATATTGTACCTATTTAAAGTATGGCTTCCCTACAGTATCCTCTGAAAAACAGAACCCATGCGTAAACACAAAGTCAAGAACAACATCATTCCTTCAATCAGTATTTATTCAACACCTCTTGCACTTCAGGGTTTTGGGTGTTTTGTTCCTTTTTATGTGTTTGAGTGCTTGCCTGAAGGTATGTATGTGCACCACGTACATGACTGGTTCCCTCAGAAGCCAGAAGAGGTCCTTGGACACCCTGAAGGGAAACCAGGGTTACTGAAGGTTGTGAGCTGCCATATGAGTGCTCAAGAATTGAATGCAGGTTCACTGCAAGAGCAACAAGTGCTCTTAATCATTGAACCATACCTCCAACCCCTATTTCAGGCTCTTAAAAAGATTTCAACTAGCCAGGTGGTGGGGGCACAAAATCCGGAGGCAGCGGCAGGTGGATCTCTGTGATTTCTCTACCAGCCTGGTCTACATGAGTCCCTGCCAGGGCTGCAGTTTAAAAACACAAAACAAGAAGCCTTTCATTACATCTTGGAACAAACTGTCAACATCGAAGGAGACAGAACATGTGTGGCTCCGAGAGGATCAACTTTTACAGATACCTTCCCCTCACAGCGGAGTACTATTATCCAATAACACATGCAAACTCTACTATCCTTTTGCTGAAACCCAATGCCTTTCAAAAACGCTTCCCTTATTAAGTGGTTGACTACAATCAACCACTACAAAACGGATCATCTGATCTGGCCATGCCTTTTGGCCTGCACCACGTGGAGTCAGCAAGAGAGCCCAGCTGTAACTAAGGCCAGCATTGGCAAACGCAACCTGCGCTCCTTTTAGGAGCCTCTCTAATAGAACGGCCTCTTCTGCTGCGTTGACAGCTGCAAGTGCGTGCAAGAGGGTGGCGGGACCTGGGTTTCCTAAAACGCAGGGTGGCTATGGCCAAATGACTATCCGAGCCGTTCAGGTCACCTGAAAAAGCAGGGCTGCAGACAGCCAACTGCACACTCTTGTTGCTAAGACGCCAAGAGGACTAAACTCGCAAAAGCAAACTGGCGTCTCTGAGAGCAACCTCCCAACTCCCTGGGCCTCGGCCCGCCATGCCCAGCCCGCGCACTCACGCGAGTGCTCCAACTCGCGCGCCGCTTTGGCCGCACGCTCCAGGCCTGTCGGGTCAAAGTTGCTCCATTTGTCCTTGGGTGATTGCCGGTCTCCCGCACCACGGTCGCCTCCACCCTCCGCCCCAGGCTGCGCGGGCGGCAAGGGCAGCGGAGGCCCTGCGCCTTCGCCCTTGGGGCCCTTGATGCCAAAGAGCCACGACATGGTCCACAAGCGCAGCGCGCCCTCGGTGGTCCGGACTCAGGTGTGACTCGCTGGGATACTGGCAGTCACCACGCGCCGCGGGCCGACTAACTGCGCAGGCGCAACACACACCTCTTCCTTCTGGAAGACGGAAACTTACGAGGGTCAAGGCGCTCCCAGCCATCGGATTGGCCGCCGGGACAGAGACGCAATTAGCGTTGGTGGTGCAATTTGCCCAGCTGTCCAAGGAGGCGGAACTGGATGGAGCTCCCGGACCAAGCAAATAGGAACGAAGTTTTCGGGGTGGGTGTGCCTTCGTCCTAGGGAACTCCCTCTTCTTCCAGCAATGGTGCTCTTGTTGTGGGCCTGGGGCCATTCGGAGATCTGTATCCGTTGTTATGGGCGTTTATGGAGACGCTCCAGCCATTGAGGCTACAGAAGATCAGAGAGACACAGGACCCTCAGTCGGAACTCTTGCTGAGTCCAGACCCAGAGAGCAGAAGAGGAAGGGAACATCTGATGGAGATGGAGATGCCCGGGTTCCCCGAGCCGACTTCTTCCGGACTTGGCCAGGGCAGTCAAAGGCGGGGTAACCGGCGTGGGACTGCTGGTTGAAAGAAGACGTGGCCTCCGCGTCCTTAGCCCGACCGACCGCCCCTCTTGTGACCCCAAGCTTTATCGAAGCTGGAGTCAGGCAGGTCTGTGGCTGCAATGAACGTCTGCAAGCCTGGCTCTTACAGCCAAGCGTGAATGAGTCAATGACGAGCAGTCCTGCTCCAGACTTCTGCCTCTGTTGCTAAGGCGGTATCTTGAGCTCCTTCCTCTTTGGTGTCTTGGCAACCCGTGCGGTCAATTCGCATGCTGCTTTGCAGTACAAGCTAGAAAGCCAGGCAGACCACCACCACACCCACATACCCCAGAGCCCGCAGAAGGCACCCTACACCGACGGTAGGTATTCTAGGATTCTGGTCGTTAGCTCTTGAGTGGTCCTTGGAAACCTGCTGAGCCGCGTGCGTGCTCTGGTCCAGGGCCTGGCTGACCTAACCTTTGGGTAGGAGGAAATTAGCACGAACACAGGGCAGTTGTTATTAGGGAACCCACATTCTCCAAATTAGCATCTTGGTCCCAGGCTTCTTTGGTAAAACTGGTTGCATTCACAAAAATGACTTTTCCACTGAGACAGTAGATAGATATTTTTAAGTGATCGAAAACATGAACAAAGCTTAAAATTCTTTTATTTATTATTTATTTTGTGGTTTTGTTTGTTGTTGTTGGGTTTTTTGTTTTTTATTTTTGTTTAGACAGGGTTCCTTTGTGTCGTTCTTGTGGTCCTGTAACTAGCTCTTGTAAACCAGGCTGGTCTCAAACTCACAGAGAACCTCTTGCCTCTGCCTCCCAAGTGCTGGGATTAAAGCACCACCACTTTTATTTTCAACAACATCAGGCATCTCACAACTACCTGTAACTGCAGCTCTAAGGGATCTGAAGCCTCTCCACAGGTGCTTATACAGGTAGGAAGATCCCTTGAACCCAGGAGTTAGGTTAGTCTGAGCAATATAGCAAGACTTTGTATTGAATAAAAGAGAAGGAAGAGGAGAAGAGAGGGAAGAAAAACAGTCGATTACTGTCTTAAGACTTTGGTGATTGCTTCAGAGAGAGTGAGCTGGGTGGTGCCGTATACCTGTAATCTGCACACTCAGGAGACTGAGGCAGAGATCTTAATTATGAGGCAAGTCTGGGTTGCACAGCAAGACCCTGCCTCAGATAGCGGAGAGGTTGGTTGGTCGACACTAAGAGGGCTGAGTTACAACAGCTGACTCTACGCCTTACAGTCTTATTCTTACAACAGAGACACTCTGAAGACACTTAAGTAAATGAAAGCGAATAGAATCGTTTTCTATCTGCTGCTATCATTTTCGTTGACAAATGTGATGTTCTATGCTGATGATACTCTTGTTTGCCGATGAGGCCAGTCCCTCCATCCTGTCTTCTTATCCAGCTTCCAGAAGGACCCCCTGGTTCCTACCATGCTCACATTCACCACAGCTCATTTACAGCCTGCTTTTACCCCTGCCAGCATGCATGACCTGCGCCTGCCATCCCTAGGCAGACCCTAACCCGGTAGATAGATTTAAAAAAAAAAAAAAAAATCCTTCCAGAATAGGATGCAGTCTGCTAATTCCACCAAAGCAGGAATTCCAGTCTTTCGAGCTCTGTGTAGCTTTGAAGCCTGTCCTGGAACACGTTCTGTAAACCAGAATCACCTGCCTCTGCCTCCCGAGTGCTGGGACTAAAGGCGTGCGCCACCACCACCCGGCACAAATTCCAGTCTTACAGATGCAATGTTTCAGAGAGATGACAGGTTTGTCATTGATGGCCCAGGATAACAATGACTTAGTACTGAACCCGAGCTTTCTTATTAGCCAAAGTAGCTCATATTCCTACTTGAGAGTTGTGTTTAAGTAAATAAGTTACCTGTTCATGGTGACCTCAAATCAGGCCCTCTGGTCAGGTGGACCCAGCTGAGGTCCCCCCTCTGAGACCCTGAAGTTAACTCCATTGATATACATATCGCCAGGGTCATCATGAGTGGCCTTGATCCTAGCGCTCAGATGCTCTCTACCTTTCCAAGTTTATGGCCACCAGTGTGTCTTTGTGTCCTTGGATGCTCCAGGAGGTGCTGTGGATGGGCCCCTTAGGAATCGTCTATGAAGAGCTCAGGTGCATTTGTGGCAAATATGGATGATCTGACATCAGGGGGTGAAGTCCCTGAAAGACTTTAATTTTCAGAGCAAGGATGTCGGAAAGAATAAGGAAAATAGTTCTTACAAGCAGAATATAGAAAATCACAAAGAGCAGACAATGACATGGGTGGAAAGACCAGAAATTATGAGAACAAGAAAGGTTACTATGGTGATGGGGCTAGTGGTTATATGCTAGGCTGATCTTGTTAAATAGGGCTAGTTACTGAATCATCAAACCTTTGCGGAATATCTGAAGGCTCTAAATGTGCAGCCAAGAGAAAGCCAGAGTATGAAAGAAGTTTCTCACAGGTCTTGGCCCACAACAAGGAAACAGGCCCCCAACCCTGGAACAAATGATACCAGATGAACAGCCCCGTCTGGGTCAGTCCTGGCCAACGGACAGTCTGGGGACTTTCCAAGTCATTCTCTGGGTTATCCTTTGAATAAGAACAGGTCACACCTGGGTGACCTCTCAAACATGAGATCATACTTTGTAATCAGTCACCTTGTGCCCCATGCATGTGTGCTGATTTGCAGTTTGTCTGTATAAAAAGGAGCCTGAACTCTCTGAGGGGTGTGCAGCTTTCCCCGAGATTGCTGTCACCCGAGTATGCACCCGTTCAATAAACACCTCTTGCTTGTTGCATCTCCTGGTTTTGGTGTTTGTGTCGCGGGCCTCTCCCACCGGCCCATCAGGACCCCGGAATTAGGGTCCAACATCCCAAGCCTTGGAAGCATGGAGCAGGTCACGGCTCCAGCCTCCGCTGAGCAGTACTGCCCATCACAAGCTTGCAGATGAGGATCAATCCACTCTTACTTCCTGCCGCATCTCAGGCAAGCTGCTACCACCTGTTGAGGTGGAGATGGGGGGCTGCTTCTTTTTTAAATTATTGTTTTAATTTGGATGAAGGTCTCTTAAGGTTTCTTTTTACTGTTTTTAGTTATGTGTAGGGGTGTGTGCTTGTGAGTTACAGGTTCCCATTGATGCTAGAGGCATATCCCCCAGGCTAAAGTTAGAGATTGTTTGTAAGCTGCCTTGTGTGAGTGCTAGGAACTTAATTCAGATCATCTGCAAGAACACTAAGTGCTCTTAACCACTGAGCTATCTATCTCTCCAGCCCCTGAGGGCTATTTCTTTAAAAAGCTCTCTGGTTGCAATGCCATATTTAATTGCAACGAGCTAACTGGCTTTTGTGAAAGGAGCACTTGGTGATTATTCTTGCCCTACAGAAACTTCATACCTCCCACAATACCTTATCTCAAATGGGTCCTGCTCCCACCTAAAAGGTTGGACAGCCTCCGAGCTTGGGTTCTGTCTGGTACCTCTATCTCACCGCATTCCCCTCGAAAGGAAAATATATTAATCGGCTCTCTTGTTTTTTGAGATAAGGTTTTTCTGTGTATCCCTGGCTGTCCTGGAACTCGCTCTGTAGACCAGGCTGACCTCCAACTATGAGATCTGCCTGCCTCTTGTCTCTTTTTCTTCCATTTTAAAAATTGATTTAAGCCTGTCATTGGTGGCTCACAGCTTTAATCCCGGCTTTGGGGAAGCAGAAGCAGGCAAATGTCCGAGTTTGAGGCCAGCCTAGTCTACAGAGTGAGTTTCAGGACAGCCCAGGCTACACAGAGAAACCTTGTCTCAAAAAACAAAAAACAGGGCCGGAGAGACAGCTCAGAGATTAGGAGCACTGACTGCTCTTCCAGCAATCACATAAGGGCTCACAATCATTTGTAATGGAAACTGATGCCCTCTTCTGGCCTTCAGGCATACTTGCAGAAGGACACTACTATACATAAATAAATGAATGAATGAATGAATGAATGAATGAATGAATGAATAAATAAATAAATAAATAAATCTTTTGAAACAAACAAAATATGGTCTTAAGCTAGTCTTGGTGATACTTGTCTTTAATCCCAGGGGAACCTTTAGAAGTTTGAGAGCCAGGACTACATAGGGAGACCCTGTCTCAAAAACAAATGATAAATTTTTAAAACAAAATATTTGTTTTATTTTACACATTTGTTGTGTAAACTTATATGGAAAGTGACTTATATGTGACTTATATGGAAAGTTTATTGGTAGAAGTGTCATTCGTGGAAGGTAAGGAAGTAAGGGGGAGAGAAAGAGACAGAGACAGAGCTACACATTCATTTAATGTGGATGTTTGTCTGTACTATGTGCATAGAGGTACCAGGGGTGCCAGAAGAGGGTGTCAGGGTGTGTAATGAGAGTTACAGCTAGTTGTGTTCTGTCTGACATGGGGGCTGGGAACTGAACCCAGGTGCTTGTCAAGAACAGCAAGTGATTCTTGACTGCTGAGCTGTTTCTCCAGCCCCATATTTATTTCATTTCTAATACTGTGTATACATCCGTATATGAACAGATGAGTGCAGGTGCCCTAAGAGGGAAGAAACTTTGGATTTCACCGGAGCTTGAGTTACAGGTGATTGTGAGCTACCCAGTGTAGGTGCTGGGAATCATACTTGGTAATCTTAAATCATCTATGAGGTCTGAGTCATCTCTCCAGGCCCCCCCCCCTTTTTTTAAACTGTAAAAATGCTTCATGAATTTGAGTGTCATGCTAATCTTTTCCACAATGTTCTAATATTAGTATGTGCACCGCCAAAGCAAGAACCTCCACCCCCCCCTTTGGTTTTTTTTTTTAAGTGATATATTCTCTCTTTCCCCCCCTCACTGGGGGGTGTCGTGGGTTTTTTGTTTTTGTTTTGTTTGTTTGTTTGTTTGTTTCAAGACAGGGTTTCTCTGTGTAGCTTTGGAACCTGTCCTGGAACTTGCTGTGTAGACTAGGCTGGACTTGAAGTCACAGAGATTTGCCTGCCTCTGCCTCCCAAGGTTGAGATTAAAGATGTGCACCATTATCACCCAGCCAGAAGTTTTGTTTTCTTTTCCTTTTTTTTTCCCCCAATAAAAAGAGCATTTCATCCTAAGGAAAAAAGCAGGAGAGACACAGCTATTGCATCTGAGCTTCAGGTTTCCTGTATTGTCCTGTCTTCCCCAGGAGGAGGCTGACTTCAGGGCTACATTTCTGGGGGTTCAACAGCCTTCGCTACTGGTACTTTAGAATCTGCCCAGCTCCAAGATGGTAGTAGCTTTACTGAGCAGTCCTTAACTACACAGCCACTCTTGAACAACTTGTTTCCTGGGGACCTAGATCCAGACTGTCCCACCATCTGGCCTTCTCACAAACAGCTAGAGATCCGAGAAAAGCATGCAGGTTTTAGCACACCTGCCCTCTGAGTGTGAAATGGCCCCAAGTCCATGGATGCCAGCACTCACAGCAGCTTTTGCTGAGGTCTCCACACAGTATCCAGGATAGTCTCAGTCCTTCTCCAGCTTCCTGGCTGCTTCATTTCAAATAGATCTCAACCAGGAGCAACCACAGACTAGCCCTTTCTGGTGTTCCGGCACACACCGAGAAGCACAGCGGCCATTCTTGGCATGTACGTTAAGTTTAGGATGGCATCTGCCACTGCTCACTATCCTAGACACCCAGAGAATAGAGCTGGAACCAGAGAGAACACGGGGGAAGAGGGTAGTCCATGCATGTGGCAAACAGCTCATACGGAAATCTTATCCCACTAAATTGCTTCCTGGGGCTGGCAACATGGTCAGCAGATAAAGACACCTGCCACACAGGCCTGCCGCCTGGAGTTTAAACTCTGGGACCCATGTAAAAGTAGAGTGAGAGAACCAACTCCATAAAGTTGTCTCTGACCTCTATGTGGACCATGGCAGGCATGCACCCCCCCCCATACACATACATCATATACTTGCACAATAAATAAATTAAAAAATCTATTTCCTATAGACATCCTCTGGGCCTGCACTGATCTTAAATGGCGTGCCTAGAACAATGCAAGGGCAGCCTCTCTGAGCTGAGGACCCTAGTAGAGGCATTCTATGGTATGCAAGTGGGGGTACAGGCTTTCGCCTCTACCGCCTGAAAATAGATGGTGCCGGCATTAGGTCAAGAAGCTTATACCAAGGATTTGTGGGGAGTGGACTCTGGCTGTCAGATACATGGCTCCTGCCTGTTCCACTTTCTCATGAGAGTAGATATATTTTGAGTGAGTTCTGTTACTCAGGTTCTCTTGGGGGAGCTACTAAGAAATGACACTGGTATTCTGCTACCTGTTTAGTGTTCTATAAACCAGGCCTGGGGATGCAGTGTGGAAGGGAAACTGCTCTCCCCCAGGGCCAATAGACCCTGGCCTACAATCATCTGAGAACACAAATGGCTTGGAGAAATATCTGGGTTTTAGGGGGTTGTGGGGCACATGTGCCAAACCTGAATCTTTGTCCTGAACTCAGATGACCTCAGACCCTGGACTGGTAACCGAGGTCAGAGGAAATCTCTGAGCCCTTTGGCCAACTATTGATCAGTAGGTAAGGATGTTGGCTTGAAGCCCGCAGGTGCATGCACAGGCTTCCTGAGCCTAACAAGGAGGCATGGAGAGGGGACCCATCCCCACGACCACCACCACCAGAGGCTAGGGCCAGCAGGCTACTGCCCTGTATCTCAAGCTATCGTCACAAAAGCAGCTACCTCCCACAAATGCACAGCATGTTGAGTGCATGGGCAGTGCTTCTTTGGGGGTCAGGGTGAACCCCTACAATGCTCCCTCAGGTTCTTGGGGTAAGCAAGTTCTCGGGAAAGCCACCCCTGGTAGGCTCAGACACGGTGTAGGGCCCCAAAGCCCACCCCACCTCTCCCAATATTTTTAGTTCCTGGGAGTCACTAGAGTAGCCATAGTAAGCAGAGGCAGTGAGTGGGCAGCAGACCACAGGCTGTGATGGGGATGCCCCGCAAAGCAGCCTCCTGTCCTCCAAGTTGTAAAAGCAGCAGCTTGAACTACTCCAAACTACTCCAGAAGTGAGGCCCTGGGACACAGACGACAAGGAACACGAGGGAGAGCAGGCCGAGTGATAAGAGTACAGATGCTGCCGACCTGCCTCCCCAATGCTGAGACGAAAGGCGAGCGCCACTACCACCCTACTGGAAAAATAAAACATTTTTAATGAGACTGCAGGCACAGTTTATAACTGACTTGAATGTATTTCAGAGTTTGGGTCGTTAGTGGGGAAGAGGGAAAAGGTGAGCTTGGGTTGGGGCAAGTGATTCTGGGAGGAGAGGCTCTGCCTGAATGGGAACTTGAGGGGAAGCCTGTTTCTGACCATCCTCAGCAATCTGTCAGAAGCCTCGGGGTAGTAGGTGAGGTCAGGTGGTAGGTAGCCCACCGACATGACACCTTCGGGTTAGATGTTGCAGAGTCCTTGGCGTGAACTTTCCCAGGGGAAATGTTGTTTGTTCCTGTCTCCTATGAAGCTTCCTTCCTACACTAAAACAGAAGCCGCCCTTAAAGCCTGACATAGCGGGGGAGGGGGGTCTCCTATCCCCAACACCCTAAATGCTAAGGTCTCATCACGTTCCTGCGAAAAGACTGTATCCCAGCCACTGATAGTGGGGGTGAAGGGGGTGTGTGCAAGTGCAGGTCCTGGGCAGGAAGGCACGGCCAGTGTCCCTGACAGGTACTGGGCTCTAGGCTGGCAGAGGATTCTGATGAAAGCTACTTGGCAACATCAGCCTCCTAATACCCATCTGTAACCCTACCTTCCCTCAGCAACCCAATCCTGCCTGCACCAGCCTCCCGTTCTTTCACCGGCTTTCTATGAACAAGCGGGACCTGAGTGGTCCTGCGCACTCCCTCCAGGCCATGCAGAGTCCTCACTACCAGAGGGACCGGCCCTTGGCACAGGTAGGAGACCCTGCGGCCTCCTCTCCTAAATGCTTGCTTGCCCTGGGTCTCAGGTCCTCAATCTGCCCTCAGACACTGTCCATCTCCCCGCCAAACGCTGCTCAACTCCACTGGCGACCGGAGAGGATGACCACTGAGCGTGCGGCTACCAGGGTGGCCACAGGGTTCCCGGGAGTCAGGCGGGGACGGCACCCAGCACGACCAGTAGAGGAGCCACCGGAGGAGTCACGCGGGTCAAAGGCAGGACCGGCACCCTATCTCCCCACCCCATCCCCACCCCGCCCCACCCCGTCCCACCCCCCGAGAAAAGGCAGCGGTGGCGCCTCCCTCACGGAGCGAGGGAAGGAGGGAACCTCGGGTGGGCGGGGCAGGCAGTTCACGGCTCCGGAGGTCTGGCCTCCGGCCGCCCCGCCTGCGGGGCACGGGTCCGCTGGCCCGAGGCTGTACAAGCCTTAGCCGATAGCGCCCTCTCGCGGCCAGAGCGGAAAGCGGCAGTCACCGTCACCAGGTACGCGGTGCCGGGCGTCAGGCCCTGGACCGTGGTGCTGTTGCAGCCCGCCGGCACCTCCAGGCGCTGCAGGGAGCCGCCGCCCCGCAGAGGCCCGAGCAGGATGTGGTAGCCGAGAGTGGAGTCCGGGCCAAGCGCGGGAGCCCAGCTTACGCGGAGGCTGCGCGGCCTGGTATGCGAGATGATGATGCGTTCGGGCCCGGCCTCCTCTGCGGATGAAAAGGGTGATTGATTGGAGGGGCGCCCCTTCGCATGCCACCCTGCCCTCCCAGGAGGTGCAGCACACACACACACACACACACACACACACACACACACACACACACACACACACACACACACCTGCTTCACCTTGCAGCGTGCGTACTCGCACGTGCTGGGGCCTCAGTAGGCGCTCGTTGGACTCGGGCAGCAGCGTTACTTCATAATCTGTGTCTGGGTTGAGGTCGGTCCAGATCCAGCTGGTGGCGTTCCCTGGCAGCTGTTGGCGTCTCGTGGCAGCTACCAGTTTGTCACTGGGCACCAGCTCCAGCACGTAGTAACCAGAGTCCACTGTTAGCAGGGGTGGCCAGGACAGGCGGAAGCTACTGGGCAGAACCTCCGAGGCACGAAGGTGCTGTGGCTGCATCGCATCTAAGGATGGTGTAGCGCTGTGGTCAGGGGGACAGAAGCTGCCTTCTCCGTGTCAGAGTGGGGCTCTCTCTGACCCCGAGGGGAGCCCCGGTAAGGCCCGTGAGGCTTTCTGCCAAGGAGAGGCAGGAGCCAGGTGGGTGTTCACTACCAGCAGGTGCTAACGACTACAGGTGGGACAGGGTCGGTAGAAGGACAGGGTACAGTCCCCAGCTCTGAGCCCCATCATAAACTTTCCTGCCTACTTCGTCCTCAAACTCAGACCTGTTAAGATATAATGGCTACTCCTCACAGAAAAACAACCTGGATGAAAGTCCCTCAAAGGTGGCAGGTTCTGCAGTACTATCTAAGAACAGAGGACCAGTCCCCTAAGACTGGGTGGCCAGCACAAAATCTGTTGCGAGCCGTATTCTGAACAGTAGTGAAGGACAGCTTTCTTCCTTGCTGATGCTGGGTGCTAAGTTTGGTCAGCTGGGCACTTACTTCCCTTCCCAGCCTCTCACTCCGATTCTGATCTTAGTGTCCCACCCTAATATCTATCTCTGGATGACAGCCTTCTCCCCTTCTGCCCCCTCCAAGTTCATCTGGTCCAGGGGCTACCAGGTGATGTCCCTGGGAAATCTCTCGAGGCAGACCTTTCACCCTTTCCAACCAACAGACCAACCCCCTTTTGTTTAGTGTAGATGATTAACCCACAGTAAGAGACTTGGTAAGAAAGCTACCCTGGAATGGTAGCATTTTTCAGTGCCTACCACAGGCTAAGCCAACCAACAGGCCCTTAGTCTCTAGCCTCTTCTCTTTGGGAGATCAGCTATAGGAAGTCCAGAAGAAAGCTGGTGCTAAGGCCCCTACAGTGTTGTCTTCCCTGTCCTGGCTCACCCAGCAGTCCCCACGATGGACCTGAGTGAAAGAAAACCAGCTCCACATACCCCACCCAAAATAGCCCTCAGTTCATCGGCCAGGGAGCCCCATCTTGAAATGGTCCCTCAGGCCTGCCTTACCCTTTACAGCCCAATTGTTGGGGTACATGAAGGCACCCAGAAGGAATATGTCCCTGGACAGCATGCAGAGAACATCACCTCCCCACTGCTGCATCCGCATCCACACAGGCATTGGGCTCATGAGTTTCCCAGGCCCTCCCCTTGCAGCGAGCGAGCGGTCAGCTCGGGTATCATGGGCCCTGGCTCTCCCACCTACCAATAATGGAGTCCCGAAGTTCTGGGGCAATGATATGAAGATCATCCACATCCACAAAGTGTAGGTGCTTCTCGGCAGGAGCCGAGGCAACTGCCGACAGTTCCAACAGGTTGCCTCGGCCAGTGCTGACAATGAAGACAGTGACGCCCAGGTCCTTGAGCTCCTGCATAGGGGGGCCCACGGGGTCACTGGAGCCCCCATCTGTCACCCACACCAGTACCTTGGGAACCCCTAACCGGGCGCCCGCTACTTCAGCAAACAATTGCTCTTTGGCATAAGCCAGTGCCAAGCCCGTATTGGTGTCACCCATTCGTTGGGATGCGGCACGTATGGCATCCTCTACTGCCTGGCCTGAACTGTATTGGTCAAAAGTAAACTCTGTGTGTGGTCGGCTGCCCACATGCACCAGGCTAGCACGAACAGCCCCAGGACCAAAAGGCATTGTAGACACCAGCTGCCCCACAAATTCCCGAACCCTTGAGAATTCATAGTGTGACACACTGGCTGAGCTGTCCAGCAGGAACAACAGGTCCCCCTGGGGGGCTGATGCTGCGGCACCTAGAGGAAAAGACAAGGGAAAATAGTCCAGGTGGTAGCCCCGGTACAGCCCCATGCCCAGCGCAGAGCCACCCCCAAAAGTCTGAACTCCCTTAAGCATATGCTTGCCTTTGCCCAAAGGTACTGGTAGTAGAATCCCCAGAATGGGGTTATAAGCCAACAAAAGGCCCACACTCTCCAACGGTTCCTGACTGTACAACGCCCATGTACCTAGAGCACCATGGGCGACCCTCATGTTCCTTATATGAGTGCTGACACTTTTCTCAATACACATTGCATGCAGGTGGAGCCAGGGGGCCAGGCCTAGCATTGCTCTCCCTAGACTTGGTTTTCAGAAGGGCCACCTCCAGGATGGAGTTAAGCTAGGTAGCTCAACTTCCAGCAGAAGCAATGGGCTCTGAGCATGCACAGCAATGGAGACAATAAGGGAGGATGGGAGAGCAAATGTGAGGGGATGGGGAAGACGAAACACTGTATAGCCCTTCCCACCCACCATACGGACAAGCTGGAATGGCAAGATGACATCACCCCTCCCCTCGTCTGGCCCCCATTCTCTGCTTCGTTTGTACCAAGAAAGCAGGATATACCCAGCCGAAACAGCCTGGGGGCCCAACCATTATCTAGTGAGCCTCCTCTTTTATCCCCTTTTCTCCCAGCCCTGCGGATACTGATCAGTACTGATGAGACCTTTCATCACTAAGTCTCAAGTACGCAGGGGCTCTCAGGGTGCCTGGATTCTGGTCCTGGCTTTCAGGCTTCCCCCTCATTGTGAGGCCATTCCAATCCTCTTACCTCCCTTCTTTCTACTTTGGGACCTTTCAAAGGTAAGGAAACTGAGGCACAAAGGCCTCTCAAACATCTTTCTCCACTATCCAGGCCTGAGGGGCGGGGCGGGGCGGGGCGGGGCAGATCGTGGCCTCTGCGCTCGATGCGCAGCGCGGACTCAGTTAAGTGAACGAGTGCTTGGGGGCGCCCACCGCAGGTGGTTAAGGTGCTGCTATGCGCCCCACCCGTTCCTCCCTCCCCCCCGCCTTCCCGCCCACTCGTCCCGCCACTGCACCTGGACAGGCATGACCTGCGTGGGCAGCAGCCGATGGGCTGTCAGGAATTGGAATCCCGGTTCCACCACACTTACTGTGCTCTATCCCGCTCCGCGCCAGCGCCAGATGCAAACTCAAAGCCAGGCTGAACGCAGTCCAGAACAGCATCGCGCATAGAGTGGCGGGCTCTTGACCGCAGCTGGCAGCTAACTTGCCTTCTTACGGCGAGGCAGGCCCACCCACCTCTGAGAAGCCACACCCACTCTCGTGGCCACGCCCCCGCTTGGGAGGCGCATGCAATCTGTCGCGCGCTCAAAGGCCAATCTGCACAGCGCAGCGTGCCTCAGCGGTCCCAGACTTGCGGTGACAAGCAACAGCCACAAAAGCACATACATGTGGGCATGCGCTGGCATTCCCGTCTCTCTTTTGCAGGCTGTGATAATGTGTCATCCATATTCTTCACCTCTCTCCTCTTCCGTTAGAGGTCCTCACCGTTCCTGATCTGCAAAACGCATGAAGTCAGGGCCAAGAGATCCTGAGAAGTGGAAGTGGTGGTATACAAAGACACAATCTCCCCTCAACAAGGACCCAGCTTCACTACAAGCTGGAGGAGCGGCCGATTTTCTCCGAAGACTGACCAGTAAGGACACTTAAGAGGAAACAAGAGCATATCAGAAACTTCTTACAGAATAAAAAGGCCTTGCCAACACTCTCACCCCAATTCTTGGAGGAAAAGACATAAGGGGAAGCCAGGCAGTCAGAAGCTGTCCAATGTAACCATGATGGCCTGTTGCTTTCCTATACACTATCCAAATGGGGGGCCCAGGGCTACTACACCCAGGTCAGACCCCTGCAGGACCAGAGACCCACTGATGGATGATCCAGATTCTGGGTCCTGGAGTCAGTGCCAAACCCAGACCAAAGTGTTGTACAAGAGGGCTGCACGGCTGGTGGCCTCCTAGGATGCTTTCCTCTGTAGTAAGTATAGTGTTTGGGGTAGAGACACACACCGGGGTGGGGGAGATGTTGTCTGGCAGGATGTCCCCTCCCTTTGGGCAAGAGGATATGCCCAACAGGGAGGACGGATGGGACTCAATGGTTTTCCTTCCTCCGTTTCTGGCAGGTGAGATACTGTGGGGCCTTGAGGACGTGCCTGAGTTTGGCTTTGCCTAAAAAAGGAAGCAATACGGTTGAGCTTGAGACGCTTGCTGCAGGAACAAGTAAGAGCTATGTCCTGCTGCCGTCCCCCACTCCCTTGCCGGGAATCTTGGCAGTGGGTGTTGGCTTCACTCCACAGACCTCAGGCCTCTGAATGGACCAGAAAGTGCTTGATGCTTCTGCCTGAGTTAGGAGACAGGAGTAGTTTGTGTGAGTCCCTCAAAGAGTGTGCCTCTCAGGGGGCACCAACTAACCTCCAGCTCCCGATACACAAGGACGCTGTGGAGACGGCATTGTGAACAAGCAGAAGACATGGTTGGGGTGTGAGGGGGGTTGCGAGGGCCCCCAACAGAACCATTCTATCTCAGGCTTGTTCTGCCAGGGAGCTGGGTTTTGAAGGAAGCAGAGATTCATAGCCCTCAGGCCTATAGTCACACCTCAGCCTGCCCTATTTCCATCCCTTCTGGAAAAAGTGAGCAGATCTTCTTGGCTGTGACTCAGCAGCTGCCCTCCTTCCTCTGACCTCACCATCAGACGGAGAGGGCACTAGAGTCCCAGTCTCCACCCAGCCCTGTCCAAGCTGGGCCACCTGCCTGACTTGAGCTCAGGCTGAAATGCTCCTGCTACCAAGTTCCTTGGGATGCCCTTCCCACCATCCCTACCCCCTGATCAGTCACCAGAAAAATCTTATGCCTTTGTCTTGCAGTGTTCCCCACCTCCAGAAAACAGACATCCTAGGGTTATGGAGTCAACTAGGGATGCAATGGTCAGGTTCAGGGCTGGGCTTGAAGCAGACACCAAAGGAAGAGCAAACAGAATAGTCCAGAGCCTTTTCTCTAAAGGGAGATGGGTTCAAGGAAGGGGAAAGGGCAGAAATGTGGTCATAGGCAAAGATGGGCCAGGCCGGGGTGACCTTGACCCCTCAGTCCTCAGCCTCCAGGGACTGACTGCCCCTGCCTGTTCCTGTCAACCAAGGAACCCAAGAGGAAGGACAACCTTTGATGCTAAGTCTATCCTGCCACAATGGCTTTGGCTCAGAACAGGGAGTCTTTGTGCCTTACTTCCTGGAGAGCTGGCCTGCCCTGTCTGTGTCTGCAGGCAGGTGGAGGGGTTTCCTGAAACCCAGAGACACCACTCTTAGAGTGTCCCTGCTTTCAACCAAGGACCCTGGGGAATGTTCCTTTCCTCCCACAGCCAGGCTTCTGCAGAGAAGAAGGGCCTTTTGTCCACAGACGGCTGTGGTCATGTTCAACCCCAGGGAAAAGGGCAGCTCCTGGGGCCTCTGACCTGACCCTTAGCCCCATGCAAGGACAGAACTGCCTGCCCTGCCCCTGCCTCTCCACCCGAACTATGAGCTGCTGTTTGTCATATTGCTGTTTTTTTTTTTTTTCTTTTTTTTCCTGGAGGAACACTGTTGGCTTGCTCACTGACTCTTGCTTACCTAGTTTTCTTATACAGCCAGCCTAGGACCACTTGCTCAGGTAATGGCACAGCCCATAGTGGTGTGGGTCCTCCTACAACAAGGATCCCCCACAGACATGCCTGCAGACCAGTCTGACCAGAAGATCCCTCAGTTGAGACTTCCTTTCCAGATACAGACTCGGGCTGTATCAAGTTAAAGCTGACCAGGACGAGTGCCAAGGGGGAAACACGTCCCACCAGTCGAAAATGTCATTTTTCTTTTTCCTTTCTTCTTTTGATTTCCTGAGACAGAGTTTCTTTGTGTATCCCTGGCTGTTCTAGAATTGCCTATGTAGACCAGGCTGCCCTCAAACTCAGAGACCCACCTGCCTCTGCCCCCCCCCCCGCCCCGCCCCGCCCGAGTGCTGGGTTTAAAGTGTGTGCACCACCACTGCCCCCGATTGTCGCGTAATTTCTATCTGACACGAAAACAACCCAACTACACACCAGAATGCAGAAACAGGAAATGGTGGGAACAGCTGTTGGAGGCCTGGGGCGGTGGAATGGGGTGAGCCCAGACCCTATGACCCCATCGCACAGCAGTCAAAGAGCAGCCAAGAGCATCAGGGCTCTCAGTTCCTTCCTTGGATCTACTACACTTCCTTCTAGACCACCTTTGTGGGGGCAGATGCCACAGCCCCCAGCACCCCAATCTCTGCGCAGAGGACACAAGGCACTGTGCCAAGCCCTGTGCTGTCAGTACCGCCAGGTGAGGACTGAGCAGGAGCGCTCCATGCAACAGAGACGCAGGGTGTTATGATTTGAACCTGAAGTGATCCCCAGACTCATGCCTTCAACATTCGTCTCCTAGTTAGTGGTATTTTTTTGGGAGCCCATGATACTTTGGGAGTCTGTTAGCCTTTAGGAGGCTGTGCCTAACTGGTAAAGGGCAGGTTTGAGGGTTAAAGATCAGCTACTGGTTGCTGCTGGATGCTTCCTGGTCTGCTGCGATGTGAAGAACCTTCCATTGCTATGGTCTGAGCTGCTCTACCATGCCTTCCCCACCGAGACCTTGAGCTAATGCAAATCCTAAGTTGCTCCTATCTGTTGTACTATTGTGATCACAGCTACATAGAAGTAACTAATACACAGGGCTACTCATTTTTCCCTGAGAAATATATAACCGTGTGAGGCCAGGGAATCGATGGGGACCCCGAGATAGGAGTTACGGGGAGGAAGACCTTTACAAGCAGAGGCAACAGCAAAGTGCCAAGACCTGGAGTTCTGTGAGGAGTGCATGCATATGGCAGGGTGCTTGGGCTAGGACAGAGGAAGCAAGCCAGGCTATGTGGCCTTCAGACCACAGGGAGGATGATGGGATTCTGAGTACTAGGAGAAGCTTGGAGGGTGGGAAGGTAAGGCAAGGACAGCTGGCTCCACGCTCCTAGAAAAACAAGCATCAGAGATAGGCTGCAAGCCTCAAATGTGCCATTAGCTGAACATGAATGCTCCAACCCTGACATGGGACCCCCTCCCCAGCTTTGGGTCCTGGCTGGGACGCTTCTGTAAGAGGTGACCCAAGTTTCCTGTCCCATCCCACGGGAGCAGGGAGGACCTAGGAGAAGAAGGAGGAATGGCTTCAGCGGTCAGGGTCAGTACCAGTTTTGCCAGTTTGTACTCCCAACCCTCCTACCCCCCAGCTCCGTTTCTGCCTCTACCAAAGCCCAACCCACATACCCCGGAGGGGAGCAAAGCTAGAGAATAAGCCCAGACCCGAAGCTGGATGGACAAAGCTGGCTAAACCCAGGGCCCCTCCTGGCAGGTACTTTCTGAGGGTGTGTCTGCAAATACTTTGTGAATGAATACATTGTTTAAGTAAGATGGGAATCTCACTGAGCCCAGCCTCTTTAACTGTGGTGATGCCCCCACCCAAAGCATAAGAAGAGTATAGGCAGGACAGAGTTACACATGTGTGCACACACCAGCCAGAGTCTGCTTTACAAGGCAGGCCCTTGGTTACTGGGAAAGGAGCACCCGCTAAGTGGAGATGTTGGCTAGCCCACCTCTGTAGCCCTGAGGAGGAGAGGTGGGAGACAGAGGTTCTTACAAGAGTGAGGCTGCCCTGCACTTTGAGGCTAGAGTCTAGACATGAGGATTCCAGTTCCTAAATGACATTTCTGACTTGAGCTCATGCTAGGCTAGAATTGGCAGACAGACAATTGCAGAGCTCAGAGTACTGCCAAGGCAGGAGAAAGTAGGCTAGGCAAAGGCCAGTGATTACCTCAGGGATGGGGAGGGGAGCATTGTGACTGAAGAAACGCCCTTTCCAGGACCTGCCCATATGGTGGTGGAAATGGAAGGGGCCCTTGGGACCTCTAAAGAGGGCCACAAAGGGGCAGTAACCCCAGACCTGTGCCTTGCCAGCTCATCTCCTCAGTACCCAGGCCCCCTACTTCTCTACCAGCTGCCACAACTCTGTTCTTCACAGCTAAATGCAGGCCCTAGCCCCCTTCTGCAGACCTCCTACAGCTTCCATAGTATTCCTTTTTTTTTTTTTTTTTTTTTTTTTTTTTTTTGTATGTGATGCTGTAAATGGAACCAATTCATCTCTCCGCTTCACATTAGCATCAGGCTACACCCTGCTATACCCAGCTCCATTCACAGAACAAGGTGGTCTTGTGTTTGTTTTGTTTTGTTTTCTGAGAGTCTTAATTTGTAGCCCAGTCTGGC